TTTATACAGGAGTGAAGTAGAAAGACAATCCTGGATGAGATCTCATTTGTGAGAAAAGCACCTCAAGGAATTTCATCCACTAGTGACCGAGCTGATTGAAATACAGGAACAACTAATAAACAATCTCTGTGATAGTGTTCGTTCCCACAAACCTAAAAGCTCTGATGTATTAAAAAAAAACACAAAGTGTCTCTTTTCTCTGTGAGCAAACCGCAAGACAAAGAAACTCAATTACTGTTATTTTTTTTTATTATTAACACAATATTCCACACTTCTGAAACTCATGCATGAGACGTTGATGCATTGTGCATGCAAAAACGGAATAAAGAAGATAATCAACAACTAATAAAGCAGGGACACTGCAAACACCACTCTTCTTCATCAGGGCATATACTTTTTTAAAACAAGGGAAGAGAGACAAAAGGCAGTGTTAAGCACATGCAGGTCACTCGTTTGGCTTAGTTCAACATCACACAGCCAGAGAAAGAAAGAAGCAGGGCCGGTCTTCTTGAGGGAAGAGTATGCGAATCTTCTGGGAACTAAAACCAAATCAAGAGCAAAAAATCCAGAAGCGTGCAGGATACGACTTGAGCAGGGCATATTTCTAGAGCAAAAGTCTAAACCCTGTTCTCCACCGACAGCCCAGAAAAATACCTAAAACTTACCTTAAGTTCCAGAACTGCAGAATTACTATACTGCACTCCCAAATAGGGGTGTAAATCTCTGACCTCCCAACGATTCAATGCATCATGAAATCTCAAATTTCAATAGAATTATTTTGGTAGAATTCAGACGTATTTTTAAAAAATACACTGAACACATAGATGTGACCAAAGGAACATGCACAATACTTGCAAAGTATATATTTTTTTTATTTTTACCCAATTTAGTCACTGTCAATTACACTCGCTAGCAATTCTACCAAACTGTGCTGACAGCTAGAATGTGCTTATTCCAAGACACATGAAGTGTCGCTGTATCTTTTTAAACTGCTGCTAATGCAACTTCACTGGACAGCACAATGCTCAAAAAGAGAACATTAACTGCCGATTCTGTTACATCAGCTAACAGGTGAACAAGTTTGCTAGCACAGTGTTGAGTGATGGGGGCGGGTCATCCTGCTCACCCAGAGAGAGCAAGGCCAATTACGTTCTCTTGGCCCCCTTGCTATGGACGGTTGTGGCATTAAGAGATGAAGGATATGCTCTACTCAATGTTATTATTATTATCACTCATTAGCTCTTCCTACGTTACAAAATCGATGCAGTTGAATCGTGACCTTCAGATCGATGCATCGCAGTGTATCGATGCATTTTTACACCCCTAGAGCTGGAGTGCTATTCTACTACTACGCTAGCGCTGCTGTCTGTGAAATCTAGAGCACAAGCGGGGTTCTAGATTTCTTTGGTGTTTTTCGGGGGCTGAGCACAGGGTTCATTTGCTACACATTGGGGCAGGAGGTAGTCGAGGAGAAGAGGAGTACTGAGGACGGAACAGAAGAAGGTGAAGCATTAGTCTAAAGGAAACACCAGGCGGGTTAACAACACACTACTCCCCTGCACTCGGAGTGAGCGGAGAGGACAAGGAGGGGGAGGAGAGGAGGTCAGGAAGTTTTGGGAAGAACAAGCGCATTACATGGATTACACACTGTGTGGGCCCTCAGTTCACACAAAACCCTGTTGGCCTATTTGTCTGGGTTCTTCTTGACAGCGACAAGTATTATGTTTTAGTATTAAGTTTTATGTTTTTTTTTTTTATTTGACTGTATATTTTCAGTCTATGACAGTGGATATTATGTGTATTACAGATCACAGCCTGCTATGAGGTTCTTGAGTAAAATATGAGAAAACCAGTTGTAAAACAGTAATGCAGTAATGGATGGGACAGCAAACAAACTATGTACTGTTTTGTGTATTAAAAACAAAAAAGGAACAAAAACTAGGCTCCCTCTCTTTCTCTCCTGCGTTTGCTCTTTCTCTATTAATAACCTCCAGAGCTGGGCAGCTCTCTCTCTGTGGCTGAGAGGAGGTTTTAGAGTTCAGCTTAAGTTCATCTCCAGTTCGTCCTCAGCCCTCTCTGCAGTCTAATTAGCTTCAAATCCAGTGCGGAGCTGTCGATTATGAGCGCAGCCTCATGCAGCACGCACACGCACACACAAATTATCATAGGTTGGGAGTCGTCGGAGCACCAGCACTCACTTCATTTTGAATTTTGTAAATGACCTGCGAGGGTGTGTGTGTTTAAAAATAGTGGTGACGGTGTTGGCGACAAGGGATGTGAGCAGCAGCCACCTCTGAGCAATAACAAGTGCAGGTTTAGTTTCTGCTGGAGAGTGAGGCATCATTATAGGCTCCCAGACAAGCATGCGGATAGTGTCCAAGTGGGTGTCTGGAGCTTGTAATAGTAAAGCAGCGCTTAACCTGCACTCTCCACTCACTCCAATTATACATAATAACCCACACTGCAACCAAGGCTCAACAATACATATCATAACATTAATATGACAGATCACATCGGCCTCGGCCGTGTAAATACACGGTTAGCTTCAATACGTTCAGTGTAGAAATCTGTGAGAGCGAGTGATAATGGCTGCAGTGGTACAGTATATTTAGTATTTAAAGAAAAGAATCAGTGCTGTGCTTTAGCATTTATGCCGTTTTGCAGCTATTCCAGGTGTGAAGGTGATTTCTTTAAGAAAAATGTAAAAAAGTTAAAACAAATTATTTTTATTTTTTAGATTTTTAGATTAGATTTTTCTTGGGCACTGGAGATATTGTGATATATGCTCTGCTGTCAGTGATAGATGAGTGTGCTTGCTCTCTCTCTACCTCTCAATCTGTGAACATCAGTAAGTGCATTTGGACTTTCAGTTCTGCACGCTAAGGCTCAGCAAGAGAAAAAAGGGAGAAAAAAGAGTGGGAGAGATGGAGAAAGCTGACACAGGCAGATCAAGATAGTCAAAATAATGTGAAAAAAGTGAGAAATGTGATATGAGAAAAAGAGATATGAAGTGAAAAAGATGAGGAAGTTTTACGCTAGCCTAGAAAGTTGTTTACTAATATTTATCTGAGAAGTAAGCCCACGTTTGCTTGTAAAAAAACGTGACATTAGAATGAATAGAAATAAACATAAAAAAGATAGATATTTTATGAGATGACTAGAAGAAGGCAAGTCTGGTCCCAGCTTCTCTTCAATGCAGCCTACTTATTTTTTTCAGAATAAATTACTGTTAGATATTATTGCATTAATGTTTATTTGTATTAATTGTAAAGTAAGTGTTTTTCTCAAGCAAGTAAAGACTTACTGTCCAAATAAATAGCTTTAAACAGAATTTTCTCAGATAGTATACCTTTTGTACTGGTAATATTTTGGTAATATTTGGGTGTTTCTGTGTGTGTTTTTCTTACACCTTTAAACAAGGGTTCCTCAAGGGTTCAAGGGCAAAGGAAATGGTTATATCTGAAGAACTTCAAGGGAAAAAAAAAAGATTAATCTGAATGCTTCAATAATTCTTTGCAGTTCAGAAAATGCTTCTTTTTATGTTTCATTCTAGTGATGTTATAGTTGCCTCCACAATGTTCAGTTATTGTTTTTAGTTTATTATTACTATTATTATTATTATTATTAAACCTCCCATTTTAATTATCGTTGTTGTTAGAAGGTTGTTAATCAGAAATCATAACGCATTTTCTGAGTGAAACACGGTATCAGGGATGGCCACTGAGCTAGATTTCGCTTTTCGCTTGATAATAGGTGGGGGTGGATGTCTGGGGGAGGTGAAACATAACACTAATGGTTAATATTATTTTTCCCTGCCTGCTGATGCAGGACATATTCAGAACTTGTGTTAAAGCCAGGCAGAATGCACTATACTTTGATCAAGGAAGAAGTGGTATGATATGGTAAATTGTGCAAAATATGACCAGGAACATAAACTAACAAGGTGAAAAAGGTCAATTTAGATTTCAGGTCAACTTTAAAGATGGTTTCATATAGCACCAGACATAGAACCATTTTTATAACTGTGTAGAACAATTTTTGCTAAGAATGTATCCTAGAACTCCAGCCCAAGACCACTTCTCTTGGTCTGCTGGTATTTTGTACTGTGTAAGGCCATGTCCCGGCTCGGCTGCTGAAACAGATCACCCAGCAGAAGTTTCTATCAGGCAGCACTCGTTGGCCCTGGGCATATTTATTTGTTGCTGGTGCTTCTCATTACAGCCTGAGTGGATGATCATGGCAGCAGAAGTCGGAGCGAGAGAGCAGCGCAGGGCTCAGCAGGATGAGGATTTATAGGTTCTTCTCCGCACAGCGGAGGAGCTTTACCACAGAGAAGGAAAAGGCCTTCAAAACAGCAACACGTGAGACAACACAGAACACTACAGGCCACAAATGGGAGAGGAAAACTATGTGATAAGAGCACAGAAAGATAACAAGGCTAAATAAACAAGACTGTGCTCTTCTTGTGTCTGCAGGAGGCACAGAAACAGATTCAACACTTTAGAAGCTTTGATTGCTTATTAATGCCGATGAGTTTGTAAGCATGTTTTCTCCACAGGTTACCATAATATTTTCCATGTTCTTATGGTGAATTGGATAATTTTGTAATGAAAGTGACTGTGTCTTTGATTTGCTCAGCCTAATCCATCTAGCAATGGCCATTATTCACCTATGGAATGCTATCGTTTTTTTTCCTGAAACAAGCTAATATACTAAGCACAATTACACTGGCCAAACATCATTTTTCTGAACACATACAGATCACACATTAAAGTTGTTGCGTTAGGAAATTATTCATGTGTATGTTTATGAACGTTTGCGATTGCTGTGCATTTACGTTAATGAATACTTGCGCTTATGAAAGGTATAGTGTGAGACATGTTTTGTGCATGAAGCTGAGGGCCACACAATAGGATCCAGTATAGCGCGATAGAAGCTCGAACTAAGGAAAGTGCTAGAAGACAGACAGCAGACTTAGAGCCTCTCCCCGCCCCCCTTACCCTCCATCTCCACACTGATTGGCTCCGAGTCAGGGGAACCCCGCCCCCCCCGCTCCCCCTCCGCAGGGTGGGTACCTTTCTCAGGGACACCTGGCCCTTTAGGCAGAGCTGGCCCCTGATTGGTTGGGCTGGGGCTTGTGGGTGAGGTCTTTCCTGTGGTTGTATTGGAAGGGGGCAACAGAGTAACCAATCAGTGAAATCCATTATGTGCATAGAATTCAAAACATTTCAGGCAAATTTCTCATAAGAAACAGAGTAACATATAAAAATCAGTGTTCATGGCAACAACCTGTATACAAGCAGGAACAAGGAGTTAAAGTAGATAAAACACGATTGCTTGACACATTTGAAAAAGGTTGTATAAAACAGCTCGCTCTGTCTCCAGGAGAAGAAAGTTCTCCAAAGTGGATCACGGATGTAATGCTTAAAACAGGTGTATGTGAAAATACCCTTCAACAATTAGCTTATTCACAGAGTCAATTTAAGCTTGCTAAAGCACTGGTTTTGGCAGACGAATTAACATCGTGTGTCTTAAACTGTGGATCCATGTAGGAATTTCTAGCTCTGGTGCATTCCAAAGCTTCCTCAACCAGAACTTGAGCTGGAAACACCCACCTGGCCAGCTCGCAATGAAACTTTGCTTCTAGCTGCATGTCTGGTCATTCAAAACACTTTCTTCCCTCCCAGTCTCTCTGCATTTCACATTCACACAGCACTCGGAGACTTCACAGTGCGGCTTGACACTCACTAAGACCGACTTTGAGGGTATCCCCTTCTTTAATACTGCAATGGAACTTTACATATTCTCCTGCCAGGGCCACTTTAATTATTGATGCCTCTGTGAAGTTCCTCTCCTCAAAGGCTGAATGTCCTTGAGTCCAGGCAGTAGAGAGGGGCTCCAGAGCTCCACTGATGGTTAATGAGCTGCCCTTACTGTTCTCGTACAACCAGCCTGTTCACCAGCCGCCACACACACATGCGCGCGCACACACGCACACCCACACATTCTTCTTTTCTGCCAGTCCACCAGGCTTGTTCCAAATCAGGCCTGTCAGCGTGCCATCTGTGCCAGGCAAATGGAGCCTGCTGCACACCAGGGGAGCTCAGGCTGGCACACTAGCGCATGGCCACAAGGCTGAGTTTTGTTATGATTTCCACTTATTATCATTTCTATCCCTACCGCTTTAAACAGCTGGGAGGGGGGAAGAGGGGTGGGATGTAAAAAAATTTCAAATATGCTCATTGAAAACCACTTCATCGTATGTGCTGTAGAAAATGTGTCTGGCTGGCTTGTCTCTGTGGGGCTGCTTTATCAAACAGTGGGAAGATGAGGGAGCGGATGAGTGAGAGAGAGCAGAAGACAGCGAACGAGAGAGAGAGCGAGGGGGGGCAAGAAAAAGAGCATGCGAGAAAGAACAAGAGAGACAGAGAAAGAGAGAGCATGAGAGACAGAGAGAGCGTGGGGCGCAGCATAGAGCCGATCAGGAACAAAGCTCAGAGTGTGTAATGGCTCAGCGTTGGCACGTGGGTGTTTTCTCAGCACTGAAATAATTGCTGCGCACTGTACAGCTGTGGAGGGCTTTGTCTTGGAGTGAGAATTGAAAGCGCAGTAAACTAAATAAGTAGACCGCTCGTGTCATTTCCAGTGGGTTTCTAGAGGAACAGTGGTCTGCACAACAAACTGAATTAATCAGTGGGGGGGCTGAGTGAGTGTGTACTCCCATGATGTTCGCTTTCTCACCCCTCAGTTAAACTGACTGACTCTACAGCAGAGAAGCGAGGAGTCATGCACTCGTCTTCTGAAGAGTCTCGTCCTTTGTGTCATTTACTGATGGACTTCGATGGGTTCCATGGATGCTGCGCCATGGCATTCTTTGCAAATAGGTGGACATGTGAGTAGGGGTGGGCAATATGGCCATATGTTATCAGTATTGTGATTATATACACCACAATATGCTTTTCTGAGTATATAATGGTAATGGTCAGTTAGAGATGGGCAATAGGGCAAAAATATAATGCCATGATACTTTAAGAAACTTTCATGATATACAGCGTGAATCACAATTGTTAGTTTTTCTGAAATGTGATAAGATGAAACAGACATAAAAGCCCCATTAGCGTCACATGTATTCGAAAACTATTAACACATGATTTTTATTTAGTGTTTCATATACTGCACTGCACAAAATTCAGTACTTGGCTAATTATGGGGCTAATTATGGTCACTTTGTAATGAAACATGCAGTTAGTCTTTGTTCTTTAAGTACTGACGATATCCATCAATAAATGTATACTATGATGTAATGTGATTTACCCTGAATTTATCAGGATAACAAAAAATGCTGCCATACTGTCTACCCCTATTGTCAATACTTCCAGAACAGTATTTAAAAAAAGGACAGATTTAGATCCATTATAAGGAGCATGTAATACAACAACCAGTATATAATAACTGCATAAACTACACAGCAACAAACAGCTGACTGGATGTCAGCCCATTAAGTCATTATTATACAAACCCAATTCGAAGTTGGTACAGTAGGTAAAATGCAAATAAATACAAAAAGCAGAGATTTATAACGCTACTTTGACCTGGATTTGTACAAAAACAACACAATGACAAGGTATGTAATTTACCTTACATACTTCATTTTTTGTTTGTAAATATACACTCATTCTGAAATTGATGCCTGCAACATGTTCCATGGGAAGGGGCAATTTATGACTGGAAACACTTTAAAATACACCTTAAACAGGTGATGCATGGACATAGGAGCATCTAGAATAGGCCTAGTCCTTTATGAGCAAGAATGGGTTTAGGCTTGCCATTTTGACAAAAATGTGCAGTAAAAAAATCCAACAGTTAAAAAATAACATTCAACAGCTAGAGATAGCAAGGATTTTAGCTATTTCACCCTCTACAGTGCATGATATCAAAAGATGCAGGGAATCCAGAACCACAAATGAATGCCTGTGACTTTTGACCCTTTAGATGGAACTGCATTACAAACTGGTTTACTTCTGTGATAGATATCACAGAATATCAGATAATATCACAAATCAACAATTCTTTGACAAACTGTTTTCAGAATATACACCGTCCATCACTGCATCCACAAATGCAAGTTAAGACTGTACTACACATAGAGGAAGTCATCCGTCAACAACGTTCAGAAACACTGCCGACTTTTCTGGGCTTAAGCTCATCCGAAATGGACTGATGCCCAGTGGAAACCTGTATTGTGGTCTGATGAGTCAATCTTTAGATATGTTTATGGAAATAATGGACATTATGCTCTCTTGGCCAAAAAATTCTGTTTTCAAAACTGGATCAGTTTGTGTCTTCAGTCCTAAAACATTTATTAAGTATTGTTAAAAGGAAAGGATTGAACAGTTGTAAACATGCTCCTTTCCCAGCTTTTTTTTGGAATGCGTTACAGACATCAAATTTTGAATTAGTGTATATTTACAAAAAGCAATGAAATTTACCGGGTAAAATTTAACATATTGTGTTTTTGTATCATTTGTATCATCACATAAAAACAGAAAGTAGTGATTGGTTAGAAGTTGGAATTGGGTTGTATTTTATACATTTATTTTACTAGTTGTTTGGTTCTGTCTTGTTTCTTCTTAAATACAGTGTTTTTGCAAATGTAGCCTTTTTTAAATGTGAACTTTTTAAAGCGTTGCTCGTGCATCTTGTCTGTACGAACTTGTCATAAATGTCTTCAGGTTTGTGCTGTTATATTTTATGTCATATAGCCCACCCTTTAAGTGTATATACTGCACCACTGTTAGCACTGGGGCAACTGCTACAGTGAGTAATTTTGGTTGTCCACAGGGGATGTGTGTGTGTGTGTGTGTGTGTGTGTGTGTGAGTGTGTGAGAGGCTGAGAGGTGTGCTACACTGAATGGAGTTAAGCAAGTGGACAGACAGACTACAGCAGCTCTGTCTCTTTGTCAGAATGTGCTGTTGATGTGTTTCAGTACAACAGCTCTGAGCGCTGACCCACACTGCTGATCTGTCTAAACTGCAAAAACCCAGCCAACACACACAGACGCACACACACAAACACGCACACACGCACACAGAACACCGTATCAACTGATTACTGGTTGATGCAAAATACACACTTTCATTCTTATTAATATGTGAATTTAATATATGAACAGAGGATTTTTCTCAAGTTCTAATGAACAAACTAATCCATAAGGGTAATCACTAATTTGTGATGGTTTATATAATTTTATGCACTTAATCTTTCCAGAAAAATCAACAAAACTGCTAAGAAAGCTGGAAAATTCTGTCCCCTGCTCTACAATATTTATATTATTTAAGAATGGTGGGTTTCTGCTGTTTCATCTGAATTTAAGAAATAAGACAATCAAACTGAACACATTAGACCATTTACAGTTGACAAGTGAAAATCACATAACTTTTATGCATTTAGTATCCTGATTGACTTCTAAGTTTGATCATGTTAGAGAGGAAGGCAAATGTAGCATTAAGAGTCTTGGGACAGCATGGTGTGCTTGCCCAGGTGAGGAACTGAATCCCAATCTGCTGCATGGAGGACAGCGTATTATCCATTATACTACATCAACTACATCTTAGTCAGCAAAAATACATCGGCTGTTAATATCACAATTTTTAACTATTTAAAATAAGTATCTGTAACACATTTTTTGTTTTTCTGGAGGGCCCTACTTACTACAGGCCCTAAATTCTTTGATGCCTGTGTCTGTATCAGTGGAGATTGATCTGGAGTGGCAGCATGCTATACCTGTGTGAAAGCATCTCCCAGGCTTGATGTGAGACCGGGGGTGGGGGTGTAGGGGGTTCAGAAACGATAGCAGGACAGATTGAATAACACTCTGTAATGTGTGTGCACGAGAAAATTGCCTCATACTAGAGCAATATGCTGTAATACGTCTGCCATTTGCGCAATTCACACAGCAAGGCCAGCCAACAAAATAAGAAATGTACTCGCAATGTGGACCCATAATTTGAATGAAATAAGGAACCAAATGTCTTTTCAATGAACGAATGGAGTTAAAGTACATATACAAGTTTTCAAAGACCTTCTGAATGAGAGAGTGATGCATGAAAGGCAGGAGCATAGAGCAACTGATGAACTCAAGTTAATGCTGAATGGAGAGACGATGACTTATGTGATTTTAAGCACAATAGGAAAAAGAAGCTACTGACCATAGGCTGAATCCACTGCAGTGTTCTGCTTTCGTGTAGTTGCCAAGACATCTATGATTAAGAGAGAAAAAGACACATGATTCAAAAGAGCCATTCTGAAAAAGCCTAGATGAAACTCTGTTACTAAAAAACTGGTGTTGCGTGGACTGCTTTGTGACGTAGCTTATTGAAACAAGTGGAGAAATTGTCAGAAGTGCAGAATATAAGCTTTCAACTGATACCACATTTATATTTGTAGAAGAGTAGATGTTTTATTATGATTTGAAATTGACGAAAGGTTATTCTTGTATGTGCACATAGAAAAATATTTTAAAAACTTTTTCGTCATTTTTTGACATTAAAACAAACTGAAAAAGTGGTTAGTGCAGGCTAAAAGCTGTTGATACACCTAAAGCATGTATAATTCAGGACTAGGGCTGTAACAGTTTTCAGATTCAGAATTCGGTTCTATGTAGCACAGCAGTGTCTTGAGTTGATACATTTTTAGATACGGTAAAAACAATGACTGGCTAAAAAATAGGCCTTCTGTTAATATCTTAATGTTTCCATTTGCAGTTTATTGGAACATTTATTATTATAATCGTACATTAATTGTAACAAAAGCTGTGTCCCAATCTAACTCTACAGCCCAAAGCTTGTATATTAGCCCCAAGCTAAGACACTAACCACAAGCTAACACAAGTTGTGATAAAACAATGCAATATGATACACTGCAAATTTGATTCAGTATAATACATTGGCTTGCCACATCCCTATACATTATTCAATTAACAATGTAGTTAATCATATAATTATGTTAACATTACACTTTGTGTGCTTAAAATGTCTGGATTATACAAGGTACACACAATAATATCATCATCAACAACTGCTTTGTCTCATATAAATGAAAGTTCTAAACCAGAGCTTCCAAAAATCGCAATCCCTAGAAACCCTAGTGACTTCAGTAACAAGCCCAGTCATTTGAGGATGGACCCAGACGCCTACTTTTGATCAGTTTAATATTTATATTTCAACACACTGTTTCAAGCCTTCAGTTTAACTTATTACACCCTTAGTTATTACATTTAAACAGTCTATCAAAATGAAAAAGACAACTCTAGACTTCTAAAGGACCTCTGAGCTCATTTCCTCAGACTAGGTTTGTATAAAGACCAAATGATTTATGCAAGGACACTTTTTGGCTGTCTTGTGCTCACCATGGCAGCTGTCTGGGTACTGAGGGTAGCCAGTCTCCACATCCTGCTCAAAGCCAGACCTGAGAGAAAGCAAGAAAGAAAGAAAGAAAGAAAGAAAGAGAAGAAAGAGAAGAAAGGGACAAAGTTAGTACCTGCGTCATCCCTTTCTCTCCTCGTTCCTCTAATTGCCCGTGCTGTCAAGTCCAGGGAAACAGTCCTGCTGTCTCTCTGCCTGGGCTTGAATAACACTAAAAGGGAAATGCAATTTGTTTGCTGTCTCATCAAGGCCGGCGCTCTTGACAGCGGTGGCTGGGCGCATGAGCGGAAAATGAAAAATTGAGGTGAGGTGGCATCCACCACACTGCGGCAGCCATGTTTTTTCCATGGCGGCAGAAAGAGAAAAGAAACGCTCTACAAAAATTAGCCACACTTAGAGGCAGGAACACATGCATGAGAGACTATTATGAAAATTACGAGTGCAATTACCGTGTATGGTATTGTGATTGTGATTATTAATCGCAATTAACACTGATTATTACAACCTGGTCACTATGCATTTGTCAGGAGGTGAGAACAGCTGTGCTTGATCAGAATGCGTTTCTGAGAGCTTGCTGCTTGCTTGTGGTAGAGAGCATACTGAAAAAAAGAAAGGCTTTCATTCTGGCTTTTGAGAATAATTACCTGCAAATGACAATCACAATCTGATAAATCAGTTCTAAATATGAATGTTCCCATACACCCTATCAGGAAAAAAGTACTGTTCGGGTAAATTTTAATTCCAAGGAACAAACAATTTATATGCACCCTCAAAGGTGCAACATGGTCCTTAAGGTCCAAATGCATATATTAAAGGTGCATATGGACCTTTTCATAACTTAAGGGCTTAAATAGAAAACCTGGAGTCAAAACAGTAGATATGGAGTCAATGCAGCCTTCTTGGTTAAACTCAGGGGCCTCCAAAACATGTGGAAATCGCATTTTGTGGATACTCTGAAAAACAGTCAAAAGATCTAACTGCACAGAATATGGTACAATTAAACCCTTGAGGATACCACCTCGGTGCTAGCGCTTGTACCCTGAAAGGTGCAGATTTTCTGAGAGTTTAGGCATATTCTCACACATGCACACAGGACTGGCAATGGTAATTGAGAAAAATTAATGAAATCCTTACAATAAGGCACTGTGTAACATGCACCAGTGTGAATCAATGTAAGCAGGTCAATTTCTGGCACTTTCAAACTTACACAGTGGCACTCAGCTTAGTGAAACATTATCCTATTGACTGTACAGCACTTTAGATCAGAAAGGAAATCACTGGAGAGATCCTGAATCTCCTGTCCTTCAAAATATTAACACATAGCGCCACACTCAAAAAGAGCACTTATTTGATTAAGGCTGTTCCAGTACTTTGCGATGTTTGATAGTGTTACTGGTGCAACTGTTTTTCACTTTATCTAACTGCTCGTCTTAAAGTCTTTGGTGTTTTTATGTTGCACAAATTGCAATTAACATGTTTGCTGTCATATTGTGTGTTTTTCAATTCAATAATCAGAGACGATTTGGGCTCTGCAATTTAACTGTTGCATCCCCCTGCAGTAAGTTTCACACTGTTCATGCAATTCGTGGCATTTGTTCATGTGCATTTATACTCTGGAAAATAAAATTATGATATCAAAATTATGATATATAGGCCGAATACCAACATCAATGTGTTATCGGCACACTTTCCCTTAGAATTGCCATTAAAATTCTGGAAAATACATGCAGTCCACTGGACTGCACTGCCTGACAGTGGACAGCTCCATAGCTGCAATGACTCAGCAGCCTTAAGAGAGAGAATAGCACACAGCCCTCATCATCATGCCTAATTATCCATTACAGACATCAAGAGATATTCACTTTTCCAGAGCCACTGCTGATTAGCTGCATTTTGTCTCGAGCAGTCACGTACAAGCACATCATAAGAGCCTCAGTCAAAAAGCACCAGAACTGTGAGATTAACCTTAGAGGTGGGTTACTGAGGACAGAAAGGAGGCAGAATTAAGGGGAACTGTACAGCATTGCTAGAGGCAGTATATTAAACACCCACGCATACATGGCTGCTTGCTTTAATAAGAGATACAAGGTGTTGTCCTACCCAGAGAAAACACTGCAAGCAAACAAAGGAAACACAGGAACAGTGCTATAGGAAGTCTGATGAGAGGTGCGGAATAACAGAGGTTACTGAAGAGGCATCCTACACCACTAAGAAAATGATCAAGTAGGGTACTCTATAATGTACAGGCAGAGTTGCTGTTTCAAAGTCTCTGTTTACTGCTGTAAGAAATGCTAGGATGGCAATTGCTGTGATTCAAACACTGGCAATGCCAATTGCTGTGATTCATGCTTCAATTTACTGTACATCCGGATTCATCTCTTAGGTCTATTGACTCAAGCGTACTTCTAAAACCTTCAGCTCAGTCTACACAAACGGCAGACGCTCTAGCATCTCAATTAAGCCAAGCCTTTTGGTACTGTCTGCTGGAAAAGCACAGGCTTTATGTATCACTTTAATGCCAAAAAAAGTTTAATTCCAGTAATGGTAGAGAGGTGCATATAAGGGGCTGTAAATCAAAACTTACATATATTTTGAAATGTACCACAATTTTACTATCATCAACATCACATATAAGACATGTCTGTAATTCGGTAAGTTTCTCTACAATGAACAATTTCACACCAAACCACTCTGAATGACTTTACTGACATCTAAATGATAGAATTATGCAAAAATGTTGAAATTGGTGGAATTCTTTTTAAAGGCTTTAAAATAGCTATAATGCATGTTGTACAGTAGTAGCACTACATTTCAGTAGCTTTCAAAGGAGTCAATCCCAGCTGCTTATCCCACACTCAGTATTCTGTCCCCTCTGTTCCTGACACAGTTTAGACTCCTCATTTCCATTAACCTCAGAGATAGAGAGAGAGAGAGAGAGAGAGAGAAAGAAAGAAAATATGAAATGACATTCACTTATGATATGACAGCTTGGCAGATACACATGTACATGCATAATATCACAACAAGCATGGATCTGATGCAAGTATGTTTTTCACCATTTTTGCATACGTGTCTGCTAAATGCACACACATGCACACGCACACGCACACACACACACACACACACACACACACACACACACACAAACACACACAAACACACACAAACACAAACACACACACCAAGAACAAACTGCACTGGAATGAGAGTAAGTATCGAGAAAGCGGAAGCAGTGAGAAAAATCACAAAAGGAAAGAGGGCGAACAGCACAACCTCCTGCAAAGAAAGCTATAGAACACCAACCTATAGGTTTCTATTCGCGTCTACACCTACAGTGCGCTCATATTTAGAGTTGTTTTGTTTGGCAGAGGAACAAAACACTTTAAAAGAACATGCAGCATTCTCAAAATGCCTTCAAGTGGGGGATGAGCTCACTTTTGCCAACAATCCCCAAGTCTTTTTTAATTTCCACGACAGTGCTGCAGCGCTACACCTGAACTCAGCCTTGGATTCTGAGACCCAGTATCACTGCTCAGCAGGTGCCAAAGGTGTTCAAACACCCAAACCCACATAAGGCCACTGTGTCTGACGCTATAAGCCCCCTATCTTTAGGAGATTGTCGCTGAAGAGCTTGCTTCAGCTCAGACTGGTTGTGGTTCAGAAATCAGTGGATCAGAACATACAGTAAGAACATACAGAAAAGACAGAAAAACATGGCAAAGCATAGACACATCTTACCCCTATGTTCATCCCCAAAAGGTCGCACCTCAAAGAGAACAAGGGCTTTAGCTCCAACACGCAGATCAAAGAGTTGTAAAGAGTTGTATAAGCACTAAAGATTCTTCAACCACATATTCCCTAAAGTAAAGAACTGGTATAACATTATCACATGCTGTGTGTATTAGAACCTGCATAACTGTACTGGTCTCAAAAGAAATGAACACAGTTTTACAATGTATGTACCCTTTAACCAACAAAGACTTACAACAGAGGCCATTCTATACTTCTGTCCACTGACATCTAACTGTTAAAAGACACTTCAGACAACAGTCACCAACATCAATTGCCCAGATGTCAGAGAGCAAAGAGAGCGAAGCTGAACCATTTCCTCTCTTCCCCCTCACTGACCAGCACTGGGCTGAGCAGGACACTGGTGCTGGGCCACATATCCTCTATACTAGTGTTCCAGTATTGACAGATGAAAAAACTTACCACTTTACAATACAATGTACCTTTATAACAGGTTTATGAAAGGTTTAGAATAAGCTGATTAAAGGTTATTAATTAGGCCACAAATCACCAAATCATTAACAAGCTGTTAAGTAAACAGCAAGATATAAGGTTTAACAGCATATATGAATGTGGGTCCACTATCTGATAAGTAACAGGCCAGTGTTGCCCTTCGATTTCTGCATTATAATAATTTTAAGGTGTTCATAACATTATTTATAAAAACTCAGCTGACTGCACTATATATCATTTGCTAGGTGTAGAGACGACATGATATCACTTTTTCTTTGACGATACCAATACTAATACTGAAAGCTTTTGTACTTGCCGATACCAGAATAGATCTGATCTTTTTCTTTAAAAATTACTAAACTTCAAAATGAGCTATTTTAACTGAAACACTTCTATTAAGAACATCTAAAAGTAGGCGATTATGCTGAAACTACTCAAACACTTTACTGCCACACAGGAAGAAACACACAGCCAACAACATCACATCACACAGTATTTCTGCATTTGATCAGATTCATTCTTTTTTTTCTTCTGCTATCAATCTGACATTGATACCCATTGATACTGATTAGCCATCTCTAGCTGGGCTCTTTAGATTGTTTTGAAGGAACAGTTCAAAACACACAAACAAATAGTTTTAGTAACTAGTAATACAGTAATGGTTTCCTTCCTAGAAATCTGATCTGTCTGGATAATATCTACACAGAGAAGAAAACAGAACAAAACATTAAAATTAACAAATGTCTGGTGAAAACAAACTAAGTCAGATTTGTAGAATATTCTTTTAGTGCAGAGTAGCAGCAGTCAAGAAGCATGGGTTCAATAATTTTATTTATGCAAACTTCAATATCATCTCATATTGTGATACTGACCATGATATATTTGGAAGATACTGTGATACTGAATTTCATCATTACCACTCAGCACTAACAGATACTCTTGCCCAAAACAACTTACAAAATGTGCAAACAGACAAACTGATATAAATCAACACAAAGAGAGAAATGATAGGATTTATAACCTAGCAGAGAGCCCTATCATATCATATCATTTGTAGACCTCGAGGGCAAATAATAAGTGCAGCTTATAAGAGATGAGCTACACTGGGAACACACAAAACTGTGTTATATCAGTCAGGAACCATCCCATCTTTAGCGCTGTCCTGCTAACACTGAAAAATGACCACCAGCATGGCCACCAGTCTGTCTGGAAACACTCACGCACAACCCAGTGTTCACCAATTGCCAACTTTCCGAGTGGTCGGCAGCCCCATCACTCATTTTCTCATGACGTACAAATTACTATGCACAACAGAGCAGCATATGCTGTGGGCCTTGCAATTGTGTCTGTTGCAAACATCAAAGATATTTCTGAAATGAGAACCCATTGCGAACTCAAGATGAGCTCAAATTGAAATACTGATATCCAGTCTGCAAGGCTTCCAACCACATATGACCAACTTCATTATACCACAGCAGACCAGCTCCTAGGACATATTCTTGGGAGCATGCTTGCATGTTAACCCCAATGGAAACACAAATATCTACAACTACAATCGATCGATATTGCACACTGGACCGATTTTTCCACAAACAAGGTCAATAAGCTGTTGAGTTGGGACTTCGCAGAGGCTGTATGTCAGTGACTTTATGGAACTTGCATTAATACATTCCACACATTCCATTAGTAATGGCAAGCCAAAGAAGCCTACAGTAAATATGACACATGAGTGGTCATGTGACGCCGAGGCAATAACTCTCTGGCTCTTTTTAAAGAGATCAATACTCACATTTGGATAGCAGACCCACGCCTGCCACGTGCTGTCACTAACACTGTGCTGCAATTTACGGCCAAAGTTCAGATGAGAAAATAATCACTCGAAGTGATTTAGAGTAGCAGCCATGTTTCGGCGGGACAAAACTGCTAAAGGCCTGGTGGGTGGTAGAGCTAACAGCGGACAGCACTCTCTCTTTGCTTGCTCTTGCACTCTGAGGTGCTGTGGGTTTGGCGTACACAGGCAAGGTGGCTGAAAGCCATAGAGCTGAACATTACTTTTAATTCCATGTAAGTGTACAGTGAGCAAGAGACAGAGAGAAAGAGAGAGAGAGAGAGAGAGAGAGAGATTGATCCAGCTTTCTCTTTCATCAAATGGCTGTGTTGAGAGCTGGTAGGTCAATAAGACTGTGTGTCACACAGGTTTAGATAAATAAATGACATGAGCCTGGGTGTGATCAATAACCCTGCTTCTGCACTGGCTAGGTGAAGGCATGGCTCACGCCCTTTAATTTCCTTTAGTCTGCTGAGGGGAGGCGTGCTTGCCACTTTTGCACAAACAAGATGGATGGCTGTGCAGGTCGGCTCCACAATGTTTTGACAAGCATGGAGCAGGAGATCTAAATTACACAAGTTGTTGGTGTATAATTAATATTGATTAAACGAAGCATATTATTTTCAGATTAAGTGAATTAAAAAAATGCGAAAGCATGCAGCAGTGCACGGCGCACTCAGTAGCACCAGATGAAAACGGGGCCCAGCTCTTTTCCAGTAAACTCATAACACACACACTGACATATTTTCAAACTGAAATTAATTCAATGAATCACTTTCTATTATAAGAAAACTTCATGTTTTATTTATATTCTTGTCACAGAGGCCCCACCTGAGGGTTTTCGAACGACTGTCTCCACCCTATCCCTGTCTGGAACCTTCCATCTCCACCCTAGCTATGATCTCTCTTCACTGTTGTCACCTGTGTCTTATTATGTGTTTCTATACATAGCTCGTGTTTTCGTTTGTACCCTTTGCAAATTTTTGTGTGCAATCTAGCTGCAACTCAAAGTTATACCCGTGTTAAGAATTCCCTGTTCTGAGTTCATTTTTCCACTTTTCCTCGTGCTTGCTCTTTTCTAGTTTCCTTGTGTTCTGCACTTTTTAGTTTTCATTCTTTTTTTTTTCCATGACCTTGTCTTGTTTCCTGGTTTAGAAATGGATTGCTCTGTGTTCACCTTGTCTGCCTGTTTCCTGACCCATGCTGTGAACTGTAACTACAATTATTGGAAAAGAACTAAATAATCCTGACTTGAACTTTCATCGTACCACCTCAAGCCTCCCACAATTACGGCTGTATTTCATATTTGTACATGTTCTTAAGAGTACAACTGAGTCCTAATGTTCTTACTTTGAGAGACATTTCTAGAAGTAAAACTGGGTTGAAGATGAATTTCATGAGTAACTGTTGTTCTGTCTTGTTTTGCAGAGGGGAAAACAAGTCATTTACATAGTTTCCATGTTTTTGTCATTGCTTTGATGTAAAAAGTGAATCGTGTGAATGTAAGTAACTAATTATGCAATTAATTCTGTCATTTTGTAATTGCATATAAATAATGTCATATAAGTTGAATGTATAGCAAACTAACACAGTAACTTTAGACTTCTATAAGGGTTAATGAGGTGCGTGTGGTAATTCATTGTAATTTGTTTCTAGCTGAGTGATGAACAGAAGGACTCTGTGTGATGGAACTGTAACTCACTTTAGTCCTGGCGCCACCATGGCACAGCTTCCGCTCCTCAGCCAGATACAGTAGGGGTCTCGTGAGGACAGACAGCTCCTAAAACACACACACACACACACACACACACACACACACACACACACAAACACAGAAAAACACAGTTAACTCACACCAGATGTGCTGGAGAGAGTCCCTTCCCTCAAACTTTCCTTCATCATCTTCACCGCACCATCTCACTAATGGACTGAGCCTGTATATGTGACAAATCCGAGACGACAGCCAGCCACAGTATCACCATAACAAAGCAGTAGAGAATGACTGAGAGAGAGAGAGAGAGAGAGAGAGAGAGAGAAGGACAGACAGACAGAAAGAAAGAAAGAAAGAAAGAAAGAAAGAAAGAAAAGGAGCAAGAGAGACAGAAAGAAAAAGACAGGGAAAGAGGGAGAGAGAGAAATAGAGAGAAATAAATGGTGAGAGAGAATAGAGAAACAGACAAAAACAGACAGAGAGAAAGAACAAGAGAGAGCGAAATAAATAAAGAGAAAGAAAAAGAGAGAGAGAAAGTGAGAGACAAAAAGAAAAAAATGACAGAAAGGGAGAAATGGAAAGAAAGGGAGAAATGAAAAAAGAGTGAGAGAAAAAGAGAGACAGAAAGACACAGACAGAGAGAGCAGAAAAGAAAGAAAGAAAGAAAGAAAGAAAGAAAGAAAGAAAGAAAGAGAAAACCACCAGAGAGAGAGAGAGCGCGAGAGACAGAGGTAAAAAGAAAAAGGGATACAAAAAGGGATATATACACACACACATATATATATATATATATATATATATAGAGCGAGAGAGAGAGAGAGAGAGAGAGAGAAAGAGACAGAGAGACAGAGAGACAGAGAGAGAGAGAGAGAGAGAGAGAAAGAGACAGAGAGAGACAGAGAGACAGAGAGAGAGAGAGAGAGAGAGAGAGAGAGAGAGAGAGAGAGAGAGAGAGACTGAGACTGAGCATGTGTACGTGATTGATAGGTGCGCTACGCCTGCCAGAAGCCCACTGGGAGTGGGTGACATGGGTTAGCTGATGAGACAGCCACAGTGAAAAAGAGTGGAGTGTAGGGAGAAAGAAAGAGAGATGTGAGATGAAGAGAGAGCGGAATAGGGAAACTGTGTGTGTGTATTATCTCCATTGTGTGGTTTGTGTGCGAGAGAGAGTGAGAGTGAGTGAGTGAGTGAGTGAGTGGGAGGGTGAGTGACAGAGAGAAACAAAATGAAAGAGCCTGAAAAAACAAACCACACTAACACAATGTCTCCTTCTGTTCCAGTGATGGAGAACTGCTCTTCTGCTGCTTATCTTCTATTTCCAACCGCTCTGCTCTTCCTAACTTTCCAAACAACTGCTCTAACATTTACATACTATTAAATCACACTGAGACAAATGAGTATAAACTGCACCGACAAAAGCCTTGTTCAGTAAAACTCTTCTTTCTTCTTTAAAAAGTTTTAGTATAGTGGTTTGACTGTTTAGTCACTGCAGACATTATGTTTCTCGTAGTGGAGTGTATCAATGCGTAGTGTAGCTCTGCAGTGAGGCAGCGCCATCTTTAACATCACTGCGGATTCGTGGATGGCTATTCAGAGCTTTTATTTTTTCCCCATCCACTGCAGTCCTATGTTATGGGTATCATTTACAATTTACATTTACAATCTGTTCAATGGATGCTTAATTAAGTACAAATGCATCCCCAGTTTATCTGTAAGTGAGAGAAACAAAGGCATAGTGCCTAACAGAAATGCAGCTGCTTCTACTTACAGTGCTGAATATCTAATAAAGCCACCCCATTTGAGCGAGGCACACTAAAATAATCCAGATCTTAAAATGAAGAAGGGGGGATATTTCTCTCTCACACAATGGTGCAGCCTGAACAGTGAATGTCCTCAGCACTCTCTCTAGAGGCTGAGGTGCCAAATAGCTTTGAGGGAGATGGGTAAAGTAGTTAAAGGGTTCATATCCTATGTTTTTTTCCATCTTAGTTCTTCTCTGAGGTCCACTTTTTTCTCAGTGACCATTTTCACATGATCATTTCCCATTTCCCAACCTCTCTTTACTCTTTATAATTTAACAGGCTGCTTGTTAATGTGCCTCTGATATACATTTCCCTTCATTCAAAAAACAGCCCAGTCTGCAACACTCCTGATGCTGCATTCACATGTTGGTGATGATGACAGCAAACCGTATATTCCATTGTTCTCAGTGATTCTGCAACGGAAAATTCTGCCACCACCACTGGCAACGTTCCACTAACCCTGTGGTCTACAGAACACTGCCGGTGGTGGTGTCAGAATTTTCCCTCGCAGATCCATCGAAAACAAAGGAATATCCAGTTTGTCATCAATTTTCGCAAACTTTGCTCTTAACCACGGCGGTCAAATACAACATATGCCGATTTTTTGGGGAGCCATGGATGACAAACGTCTCATTGTTGAATTCTAGAAGGACCCAGTACTATACCTGAATAAATAAATAAATAAATAAATAAATAAATACAGATCCTCTTCATTTTACTCCACCTTAAATAAACAATTTACACTGCTAAAGTTCTCCTCTGATTGTCGTCTATCTTTGCCGGTAATGCTGTCAATATGTACATGCACTGGTTTTGTGACATCACAAAAACAATAATTCAAAATGGGCAGTTTCTGCAGCTTAATTTTCATATAGGGACCATTTAGCCTTTACGGCTGAACCACATATTCTGAACAATGCTTACATACGTAATAAAGCAATGAAAAAACAGTTTTACCTGATATGGGCCCTTTAAGACCAGCAGCTAGAGCGGACTTAACTATAAGGAAACCTATTTGTGAGAAAAATCTGTGTCCAGGCTAAACTCAGGAAGTGGAGTTAACAGTGATTACCGGGCCGTAATCCCAGCTAAGGTGCACCCGCTTCTTGGCTATTTTAGCTAAATCCCATGATAGGATTTAGGGCCTGCTATAAAAGTGAAACAGGGCCTATCAGCTTTCTTGTCCACTACTTATAGGCAAAAGAGAAAAATAAATAAAAAATAAAGCACCGTCTCTCTGCTCTGGTCGTTACTGGCCCTTAGCCAATCAGATGGTTTCTATTTGAGTGTGAGTGCAGTTTGGCCGGTGGGGTGCTGGTGGAGAGGGAAGTTTATCATGCTGTGGAGGAAACACGTCCCCGTTCCCATCAGCTATTCAGCACTGAGACAGCAGCTGCACAGCGGCCTGCAGGCCCTCTCCTGCACACGGGCATATGGCCTAGCTTTATGCCTTTAAAACTGCATCTGCGTTTAAATTTAAGTGCTTGTCTTTGCAAAAGCACAGCACTTCTCGCCCTTAGACTTTCCTATAGACCTGGAGGAAAAAGCATCTATAATACATCAAGAGGGATATTTTTATATTCTTTAAAATGCCTCTATTTCACCAGTGGCTGACTCCTTTACAAAAAATAAATAAATAAATAAATAAAAAGGAGAGTTTCAACCACACACTCACATCCTGGCTCCTCAAATCTCTCACTACAACCAGCACAGAACCATAACACCATAAAGTATAATCAATGTGAATTAGGAAGGTGAACTTTGAGAACTACCTCTATTTTACCTAACAGGTTGTTACTGATACATCTAGACAGGGATGGATCACTGTCTCATCCCCTAGGCAGAAGAGTGGCCCCCACCCCCACACACTCAAAAAACAAAAACATAGACTTGAAATAACTTTAATAAAGGGACTATGTTTGTTTTTATGTGCCTTTTACAGCATGGAAAAAAAATCTTCAAGAAATTTACATGATACATGATATGTCACGATATCTATAATACTGTGCTGCACTTAATCCAGTGAAGCGGGGCTAATTTTGCTCTCCTTGTCACATTGTCCAGCACTACAATAGCTTAAAGTTTCATTACATTTCTGCACAATTTTTGGTGTTCAGGAGCTTTTAATTATTTTAAATACTGTGGCAGGATACGGGCTGTCATTACATATTCAAGGGGTATCCGTTCATATAATTTTTCACCTGCAGTGGACTGTCCCCAGCCTTTAAACCACCTCAGACCTTAATGTCTTGATGAGGTCCCTCAAGGCCCCATGGGTTAGTAATCTGTCCCTGCTTTTGGATGTCCTTTTTTGACTCATTAAAATCTGCTGCCAGAGTGATTACAATACATATATGTGAGAGGTAAGCACAGTAAAATGTACCAGCATGTGGAATTGGAGTTTCCTGTGTGCTGCCATGTTTTCTACCACTAAAAACTGGAAGCAATATTTTTACCTTAACTGTTTGATGCATTACGATAGTTGCCAAGTCTGTGTGTGCACACATTCAGAACAAAATGCACATCATTAAAGGCTTACTATTGAGTTGTTTCTTCAGGGCCTTATTTTGATAAAAACTGGAACAACAGTTTGACGTAGTATATAAACCCTGTTAAATCTCAAAACACGACAATATTTAGTCCATATGTATGTAAAAACAGCTCATTTTAAATTCACTGTGTTTTGTGAAGTCATGGAAAACAACCCATTTATATATATCTGCCTATTCAGCTTACAGTAGTTTAGCCCCACCCATTCACACTTTTTCAGCTCAGACTGCTTTTTGAATGAGACACAATACTGGACAGAGGTCACTGACAAATAGAGCTTGGAAAATAATCATATAAAGTGAATTACTGGCGACCTGTCCAGGATGTTTTTCTGCCTTCTGCCCGATGACCGCTGGGATAGGCTCCAGCACCCCCCGTGACCCAAGAGGATAAGCGGCTTAGATAATGTACGTGTATATGTGTGTGTTTTTGGTACATAAAACAGCACAAACATTATAAGTGCAGCTCAAAGAAAAAGATAAAATACAAGCAAAGTGCAGGATATGGGCAACTTAATGTGTTGTTTTGCTCAAAACGGTAGTTTGTGACACAAAGTAAAAATATACACATTTCCAGTGTTTTTAGTTTACACTCTTTACATTAACATAAATGATACAGCACCACTGAATAATCATGATAATAAAGTAGAAGAGTAGATCAAAAGGCAGAAATAGCTGCTTTGTTTTGCCGGCATGAAAGGGTTAAACAATGTGAGAACTTTAACACCAGGTCATCATATACATGTCACAGAGAAGTGTATGAGTGCAGTGTTACTCACTTCTTGCAGGTTCCGTAGTCAGCACAGCGGCTCAGAGGCACACGCACCACGCAGCTAGAGAAGGCCACAAACAGAGCGTGATGGTCCTTATCCAACTCGAGGCCCAGAATCCTCCGGTCCTCCCCGCGTACGTTACACCTGCCACAGGCGGAGTGACAATCAGTGACATGCATACCTTAGTGGGAATGGTGGTGAAGGGCTCAATGTCTAAAAGCCTGTATATTAGCCTTGGGCCGATGTATGGCTAACTCAAAAATGTACACAATACAAAAGATTTACACTTAATTACAGGCTATACAAACAGAATATCAACTAATCATATACACGCATACATACTCTGAATGCTACTGGAAAGATTATAAGATATTAGTGTTCATGCAAATGAAACAAGGAAATGTAGACAGAGAGAGTAAAATGGATAAGCTCATCCAGAATAAGGGGATCAGTTTGTCGATTTTGTGAGCTGGTTGAAGTAACAGGCCATTCCCTCTGCATACTGAGCTGGATGATGAATTCCTTAGATGTGCTTGCAAACTGGTATTATTATCACCCTCGTTAATAATACGTTTTCTGCACAGAGCCACGTAACATTGTTAACATCCAGTGGTTCTCTGAGTTTGTTTGGATGAAAGCCAAACAATATTACCAAACTATTCGGTATTTTCTTGCATTATGGCAGCCACTGCATCAGCTCTGCGCTATCATTTTTGAAGATTTGTTACTGTGGCAATTAGCTGAACCATACAAATTATAAAAATTTGCAAGATATTAATGGACTCTTGTAGATTATGTTCACTTGTACGCTTAACAATAAGCTATGGAAAAGTCAGAGAAGCCAAACAAAAGTAAATATGCAAACAATTTGTGATACATATGTAATTCTTGAAGACAACGTGCCAACCACAAATAGCAAAACTTAACCGTTAGCGCTTTTTTGCATACTTGTAGCAGTGCAAGTCAGGTTGATGGACACAAACTACTACCAGATGCAAAAATGTGCAGACATTTAATTTAACACATTTTTGTTGTTTGCAAAAGGCGTGTGAGGAGTGTGAGAGTGAAAAAGACAGTGCTCACTTCATTGGGTTGTACACGTCGATGTCCTCCAGTAACTGGCTGCTGAAGGTGGAGTTAGGGTGAGTACTAGCCAGGACCTTCAGAACCCGCCCGTTCTCCGAGCCCAGGAACAGAACTGTGTGGTTCTTATAAGGCCCAGCGGCTGTATCCACAGCTATTTGGGTCAACTTAAACCTACAGACAGAAAATTCACTCATTTAGCAAACAACCAACAGAGCTGTCACTGCATCAAATGACATTAAACAGCGCAGGTGTTTGTGTTTACTCTTGAGTAGTGGTTAGACGTGGTGTTTCTCCAGGGAGACAGAGACAGATGCGATCGGGAGAATGAGCAACAGAGCGCGAGAGAGAAAGAGAGACAGAGAGAGGGAAAGCGACAGAGAGGAAGAGGAGAGAAAGAGTTTGAAAGAAAGTGAGAGGGACAGATGTGATGGAGAGAGAGTGCTTATGCCCAGCAGGCGTTCTACAACTTGCTCAAGCAGCCTGTCAGTTGTCAGATTGGCTGTGACGTGCATACCGCTGTTGTTGAATGTGGTGTATTGCCAGCAAATTTGTTTGTGTGTGTGTGTATACCTGCTGGTGGTGCGTGTGAAGCATGGCCGGTCGTTGACGGAGGGTACAGCCTCGTCCATTAGCGGATAAGACTTGATGAAGGTGAGAGTTTCATCAGGGAAGGTGGTGGAGGACTTGTAGGCAGCAGCAGAGCCGTCTCCAGCACAGGAACCTGGCCTACAGGCACAAACACACAGCACATTACCTTCAACACCTTCTGTAGAAACGCAAACATACACACAAACATGTTTGTTTTTTCCATCTTGCCAAGACTCATGGGTTATTTCACAGAGCAGGACTTCTCAGTTTAGCCAGATAAGTTAAGCCCAAAGTCAAGCCTGTGCAACAGGAAGAGCTGAGGGACCTGCTTTTTGGACAGTCCTAATCTTTGGGCTTAAGTTATCTGCCTAACTGAGAAATCCTGCTTTGTCAAATACCCCTATGGTGTCATACCACGTCCCAAATGTTTTATTTACATATGTAACTGCATATCGTCATCGTCAGAACAAAACTCTTATCGCTAAATAAGCAAATTTACTAGAGAATGAAAACACATTCTTAACTTCCAATGCATGTTAATGTAATAAGATTTTATATTAAGTCACTTTGAACTACTTCAATTAGTCCATTTGTCATGAAATTTGTAAATGGCAGCATTTTCAAACTATTAAAAAAAAAAACAATGGAGCTCCAAGGTTTTCTTCTGACAACAATTTCTAATTACTATATGTAGCATTTCACATATTGTTGCTGTCAAATCAACCATGTAACTCTATTGTTTTTTATTTTTCTACATCACTTAAACAAAGCATCTGTCCCTTACATTGCGTCAACATATCTTGATGAATGGATCAACAGAAATGCTTCAGAATGAATTGCCATAAAATCTAGTTATGCTCATCCTATGAAAATTAAAGAATGTTTTTTTTCCTTCTCCTGTAAAGATTTCATTTTAGAGATACAGGTTTTTCTTACCACATTACCGATATGTATTATATACAGTACTGTGCAAAGGACATTTATCTCAGTAGTGTGTTTTACTGGTTAAAACACAATTTATCAATACAATCGATATAAATAAGCATAAATACAGTAAAAACTAGCAAGAATTTATTTTGGAAAAAAGCTTGATGTCTTTTTCTATATGTTTTCCATGGCAAAGTTTGGTTCCAGATGTCTCCTGGATGCCCCAGACCATTGCATCGATTTGTTACATTCCATCACAAGCAGATGTGATTTTACATAATGAAGCACTGATTAGCCAAACCAAGTGTTGGATGTTCATCACAAATAATATCGACATGCCACAATGAAAGGTTTGGAAAGGGTTAAATAACCATATTGACATAAAATCGCTACTTACTCTATTAATAGTTTTTGCATTTATTCTAATATTAGTGTTTTTCATGACTAAAAGGTACCTAAAACTTTTGTACAGTGCTGCATATGTATATGTAAAGTATCTGTATGTAATAAGAACTCTAAGTCTAAGCCTAACCCTAGACCTAACCCTTGCTCTTTCAACTGAAACAAGGACACAGTGTCACTGATGTGAAGCACTGCTCTTATGAAGCACCAAAAGCTACTTAAGCGCCCTCTTGTGGATGATTTTTAAGTCTGCGAAACATAAGTGAGTAAACGAGTGATTTAGTTAATTTTCAGTGAGTCAGTTAAGTCAAGTCCATGAGGTGGTTTGTAAAAAAATTTTTTGGAAAAAGAACATTAGCTTTGTTTTCCTCTGCTTTTCCTACACAGTCAGGACTGAAAAAGTTGGAAGACACACACATACACAAACACTCATACCAGCAGCTCTTCCAGCCAATATTAAATCAAAGCTGCCAGTTTCCTTTCAGATATTCTGTAGCTAACACAAAGCCAAGATAACACATTCTGAGTTCAGGCCTGACAAGCCAAGTTCTGAGTTCCACGTAGCAAGTTAAGAGGGCCAGAAGTATTAATCAGAGTCAGAGGACCTGTGTGTGCCTGTGTCTAACCAAACATAACTGACTGATCAATCAGTTTTAGGAGTCTAAGATTTTGCTTAGACACACAGCCAAATCAGATTTTTCCCCACATTAAATACAAATCTAATCTTCTCCTTCAACTCTGAAATGAACAATCACAAGCTCATTGCTATTTAAATCGGAGTCACATTCAAATACAAATGCAGTGAGAAAACAATCAACAGCTTGAATAAACACATGAATCCAAAAAAAAAAACAAACAAGAAAAATAAATCTGATCCAAGCTTTTAAACAGTTCTGCAAACTACGCTGTAAAGACTTTTAATTGTATAATCATACTTATTTCTTCATATTAGAGGTCAAATAGAGGTCCAATAAACTATTTTTGTAATAGTCACTGATGATATAAATCCAGGCTGAAGTGAATTCCTCAGCGATGCTGGAAAAAATAAACCTCAGCCACTGCTTCTGGAAGCCTGGATCCATTAGAAGGTGGCAATGATACTTTTGTTCCCTGCTAGCCAGGAACAGCACAAGGTTTAAACGTTTTCCCCATGGTCCAATCTTTTCCTAGGATCCAACAGACTGCCTGTAGTAATAACACTCCTTATAATTTCAATGTGTTTGGGTGGCTAAACCAATGTAAGCTGTATGGCTGTCATACTTAAATGTTTTTATGTACTGAAATTAAAATGGGCTGTTTTTGCAGTTTATACAGTGCATCAAACTCTTTTATTTACTAAAGCAAGATTTTTTTCATGATATGGGCCCTTTGAAGTTTTTATGGGAAACCAAATAAGAAACCACACAATGTTACCCAGCGGTAAACTCACCTGGGCTTGGGCACCTGCTCGTCAGGTACAGGGGTCCAGGCCGACTCGCTGGTCTTCTGCTCTTTAAACTTGCCATTAAACACTCGCTCAATGTCATCCATGTAAAAGGCACACACAGCAGAGCCAGTGATGCTGAAAGGAAGAGGAACTCCTTTAAATCAAGGGGCTAATTAGATTGTGTCTTTGACAGTGGGACAATGAGCTAACTGTGCTGAGCAGTTAGTTTATACAGTTAATCTTTTTTTTCCAATGGTAATAACATAAGAACATGATTATTATTACAGTATATGAGTCAGTCTGCTTTATAATATATAGAAAAAAGAAGACAAGAGGAGAGAAATGGAGAGGAATTGAGAAGAGAAGACAAATGAAGAAGAGAAGAGAAATGGAGAGAGGAAGAGAAATGGAGAGGAACTGAGAAGAGAAGAACTCTCAGGGTGATGTCACCTGTTAGCCTGTGTGGTGAAGACTCCCAGCACAGCAGGCCTGTGGTTGATTTGCATGACGTTAGTTAAGGACTGCAGGACGTCAAAGTAAAAAAATGAGTCGCCTGGAACAGAGCAGTTCAGCCGGGCTTTCAGGAACGATGTCCAGTATCGCTCTAGAACCCTCGGAGAACCACCATTATCGTTCTTACACACCCGAGCTACCCTGGAAAACACCACCTAGAAAAAGAGGAGGCAATGATGCACAGTTAAATAAAATGATGGTGGGAAAACAACAAGATCTGAATGAGATAACTTAAGCTAATATCTGCTACAAGTAAGACTTATTGTAGCTTCATAGAGACAAACGAAACAAAGTTAGCCTAGTTCTGGCCAAGTACTGTTTATAGTCAACCGCTAGGTGGATGAGAAGATCCAAACAAAGCTCAAACATATCCAGTCTCTTAAAGTCGCATGTAGTCAATAGTCAAAAAAAAAAGTAAAACTTTAGTTCATTCAAAGTCATTCAACCCAAGTGCAGGTCATACCTTGCCAAGAGTGGTGTATTCCACTGCAATCTCACTGAAGAAAAAGTACACGTAATTGCCATACTCAATGGCATGGAGAAAATGGGGCTCTGAAAGAACAGAACAAAACTTTAGACAAAAGAGAAAACTAAAATTCGCCCATCAAGCATTCACCTTTTAACAGGAAGAGTCTGAAAGAGTGCTCTGTGTTATGGTTCTGACCTCGCAGCCATTTGGAGTCGTACTTCACGGTTCGCAGGACTGGACTACTTTCTCCTAAACTTCTGTAAATCACTGCATCGCTCGCTAAAAAATCTGTCATCGTGGCTGAATAAAAATCGCCACCTGGAAATGGAATGAAACAACGCTTTATTTCAAGGCCAAAAAACAAATTTTCACAGTTTTCACAGCTCTTGGTGCCTAAAATCGCAGGTTTCAGGATCACACATTTCTCTTTTCTCACACACATAGATTCTGTAGCATTTCTGAACCCATGTACTCGCTGGTATCACATTAGGAGCAGCTGAACTTTGTGAAACGTCAGTGGAATATTGGCGAGATTGAAGGCGAGATCATGTTTCCCTCCTGATGGCCTCAGCTCGGCCAACTCACCAGCAAACAGGCCAACGTTGGACTGGCGCGATTCAAAAGGGCATCGAGCCTGACCAACCACCTCCTCTCCATCCTGCTCCAGTGTGGACATCTGAGACAGAGGGAAGGAGGGAGAGGTAGGGAGAGAGAGAAAGAATACCATGTCATGGAATACTGCATATACATCCACCACCTTTTCATGACATTCTCTGGCTGCTGTCTGCATCATTTGAATGCAGTGACTTTCAATTCAGCATACAAACTCCAGCACTGCTCCGATCTTCTGAACTAGCTAAACGGAAATACAGCAGAATTGATCCTAACCTTGTTCTGCTGCCCTGCTCTACGACCTCCCTGGCAGTATGAGGGCAGCATTAGTGCAGGCTGCACAGGGGCTAACTCTCAGCAGACACAATAGGCACTAATCCCAGAGGACAGACACAATGTGACCCCCAAATATCACCCTTTAAACTCTCTCAGCAATAAAGCACAGATGCCAGGAAAAACCCAGCTGTGTATATTTGTGTGTGTGTATGTGTTGGTCTAGACAGTGAAAGTGGCACTGCTGCAGCTCTCAGTTTGATGTCTCGGTCTGAAACTAACAAGATGTGCTTTGGCCTGTTAGCTCTGCGCACACCTACAGCGGACAGCAAACAACCCCTATACATGAGCCTCTCACTGGCCCACTAATTCTCTGCACAACTTTAACCCTTAGAAGTCACTCTTATCACTAGCAGTAACAAAAACATGCTGTAATTGAATATATGCTGTGATTTTCTATTTGATATATTTTATATTTGGTGTGAAGCACTTCATGGGCCTAGCTTCTTTCTTTCTTTCTTTCTTTCTGTCCATCCAACGAACTACCTAACTCACTCACCTACTCACTCACTCATGTTTAACAAGACTGTCGACAAGGGGGAGCTACTGGCACTCAAGGCTCAATTCCTTGTGTGCCACTGAGAAAGCAAGATAGAGAGAAATTCATGGTCGTCATCCTGCTGTAGTCCTACAGAGGAATCAGTGAAGACTGCCTGGGACAAATGGCATGTGACGGGCAAATACTGGAGTCACATATCTAGACACATTAGTGACCCAGTGCATTCTCAGTGTGTGGCCACTGGCCAATCACGCAAACACCACCGCCCTCAAAACAAAGCATAATGATAACAACTGGAAAAGTTAAACCATTAGCTAGAGAGATGGAGAAAACCTCCAAAAAGCTTCAGGAGTAGCAGGGATGTGAGATATTGCTTGTATACTGTGTATATTGTACATTGTGTATTGTTTGTAAATTGTGTGTATATGTTGCTTGTATATCGTGTTTAATACTAGAGAGACACCAACAGCTGGAACCAAATTCCTTTTGGACAATAAATCTGATTCTGATTTTGCAAACACTGAAAGTTACTTAAACAAGACACAAAGACATGAAGAACTGAAAGTTCCGAAGGTAACAGATTCTTTGCATACTTTGGTACCTCCTTTCACCCTGTTCTTCAATGTTCTTGAGGCTTATTGAAACAAGCAGAGAAATGTAGAAATCATATGAATTCAAACTTTTAATTGATGTTTGTATGTAGGAGATACGCTACTGTTCAAAAGTTTGGAATCACTTGTCCTTTTAATAATTTGTGTTACTTTTAATGCAATTATAACTCTTACAAAGTAGATTTAAATATTACAAACTACAGAACAAAAGCTATTTTCAAATTCAGTAGTGAGTTTGAGTACACTGTCAAAAGTGAAACACAGTCCATCACTGTCAAAAGTGTTTATGATGTTTGAATGAATGTAAGATATCACTTTTGTTAATCTAAACTAATATTTTGCTTTGTGTTGTGTCATTCAAATGATTTATTTGAGATGAACAAAACCAGTTAAATTGTTTATTACAACAAACTCATTTTTTTAGGTTGAACCGACAAACCATTTTTATACTGTATTTTGGGATGAACATCTATTAAATGATAAATCGCGTTTGAAAATCCACTGTTTACGGCAGTGTCTGGCAGATTCCAAACTTTTGAAAGGTAGTGAACTTTGTTATGATTTGAGTTTGATTAGAAGTTACTGTTGTGCCTTGGAAAAAATATCCGTTTTTTTGTTGCCATGTTTTTGTATTTTTCAGACACTGAATCAAATGGAACAAAGCCATAAGTGCAGTCTCAAACTTGTCACTCCAGAATGTCACTGTAATTCACTACATAACTATAAAATTAATAATTTTATTCTAACAATACATTTAAATAATTGTGTAATGCAAACTTGATATAAAAAAACAAAAACTCTAGACTTCTGAGGATTAAATCTGCTCCGGTTCTCTGGTCTCTGTCTCCCTTTTGGACTTCTTCCTAACCTCTCTAACAGCTCTGTATCTTTATTATCTTGTCTTAACCTTCCCAAGACCCCTTTAAAGCCAGCCTATAACCATGTCACAACTATACCACAGCCTCTCTCAGACTTACTGAAACCTCCCTCTAATCACAGCGTAACCTTCCCTATGCAATTTCCCAGATTACCGCAATCACTTCTTGACCTTAGTATAATCTTTTTTCAACTATATCCTAACCTCTGCTTTACCTCTTCATCACCTCTCCCCAAAAGACTCTCCGCCTGCTGAGAGACTCCGGGGAGGATTCTCTTTCCACAGAAAACACACAGTGCAGGAGGGGACAGTGCCCATGCACCGAGAGATATGATTTACTCTCACTGACTAATCTCACCCCTCTGCAGGAGCTTGCAGGCCTAGGTTTTCCATAGCACGATAAAGAGAGAGACAGAGAGACAGAGAGAGAGAGAGAGAGAGAGAGAGACAGAGAGACAGAGAGAGAAAGAGAGAGAGAGAGAGAGAGAGAGAGAGAGAGAGAGAGAGAGAGAGAGAAAGGAGGGGAGATCCTCAGGGTAAGAAATATAAATCAGACTCCTCAGAGAGTCTGCAGTGGAAAGAAAGAGAGTTAGCTGACTCCCCAATGACCTCTTTTAACACACGCGCGCACACAGTGAGTGAAATGTGTTGGGCTAGACACCTTGAGCTTGAGCAAGTTCTGTTTCCTAGTGACAGGATATTTTGCACTGAATAGACTACAACGTCTCTCTACTGAGTAGCCTTACCTTTACCTAAGACATCTACTGTATAGATCAATTAATAAATAAACAAATCTAGATGTATAAATGGACATGAAAAGCAATTAATCTGAAGTTATTCTTTCAGAGGTAAGCTGGATTCATTCACCTGGCTCAAAGAAAGAGATAAACTTTTGTTTTTTTTTTAGATAATTTTTAGATATTTCTGGGTTTGATAGTGACACGTTGCAAAAACCGAGAGACAAATGCATTAGTTACTAAAAAAATCCGGATATTTCATTTTTTTTACTACTCAGAACAGCATAAAAGCTCATGATCATCTGCATATCACATTTTTAAAGAGTTATTCAACTCTATATTTGTGACATGAATGTTGCATAACAGAAATGAAACGAGGGTAAACAGCACAATTATTGACAAATACTGGCAATGTGTTTCTAGGTAACACACTCTAGGTTTCAGACACAACACTGTGCCCTCTAAATAAAACCTACTGTCTTGCCACTCATGCCTCCTGTGATTGCTCTGTGAACAGGAGAATTGAGGTAAAACATTACAGCCGACCAGGTCAGCTAGATTTAAAGCTACTAAATTTTAAAGGAATAGCACCAGCTACCTCATCATTTTATTTACTGATAAACAATTATTAATAAAACTTAATTATTAGAGGGGTTGTAACCCTCCATCCCCTGGAAATCACATCAGTGGCTGATCTCACAGCAGTGCCTATATGATTTCACTGAGGTCAGCCTTGTCTTAAGTAAGTGAAGTAAAATGCATGCTCAGATTACTTTAGGTGAGAGAATTAATTTGCAGGCAAAAACATTCTACTTTTGGGCCTTTAAAAATTCCTCCACACTGTCATTGTCCTGCTGCAAGGTGAGTTTGATGTATCTGGAACAGTATTTGGAAGATTTTTCAGTGCACTTCCACTGCTGTGGAGTCGTATCATTAAAAGAAATAAGTGTTCCGCTGGCCATGCATGCCCATACTACCATGAGTGGCTCAATTTTTCGCCACAGTTTCCTCGTTCCATCTCTCTGGTAAAGTGTGTCAATAAGACTTGGGCCCAAGCACTGTTGCCTCAGTCATTGCCTCATTTCAAATCTAATGTGCTGGAGTACAGAGCCAAAACAACAAATTTGCATCACCGTTCAACTGCGTCACCATCCAAGTATTTTTGGACTACGCTGTATAATATTAAATTTGCGGTCTTAAAGTTTATATTTCAAAAAGCAAACCATGATTCACAGGGCAACCATGACGTAAACCTGTACAGCACTTAAACTCAACAAAAGAGTAAAGTGTGTGTGTGTGTATCTGAAAAACTCAAACACAGTCTGGAGGAGCAAAACATGTCTGTGTTTCTAGACAGCAGTTACGATTTTTATATCATCCCCATTTTCTGCTCTTGGCATGCTGTGCAAGTCAGGATCATGCAAAGATCTCCTCTCTGCTCGTACTTACTGGCACTGAGGTGCTTGAGACAGCCCTAGTCCTCTTTCAACACTTATGCAAACACTCAGCTCATTCATGTCCACTATGAACACTCAGGCTGACTGCAGCAATGACAACTTCTACTAACCCTCAATAATACAGAGTTCTTTTAACCCCCAGTAACACTAACTTTTATTAACTTACAGTAACACCAACTTCTATTAACCCACAGTAACACCAACTTCTACTTACCCACAGTAACACAAATTCATATTAACTTACAGTAACCCCAACTTCTATCAACCCACAGTAACACCAACTTCTACTTACCCACAGTAACACAAATTCATATTAACTTACAGTAACACCAACTTCTATTAACCCACAGTAACACCAACTTCTATTAACCCACAGTAACACCAACTTCTATCAACCCACAGTAACACCAACGTCTACTTACCCACAGTAACACCAACTTCTATTAGCCCACAGTAACACCAATGTCTACTTACCCACAGTAACACCAACTTCTATTAACCCACAGTAACACCAACTTCTATTAACCAAAGTAACACCAACTTCTATTAACCCACAGTAACACCAACTTCTGTTAACCCACAGTAACACCAACTTGTTAACCCATAGTAACATCAACTTCTATTAACTTACAGTAACACCAACTTCTATTAACCCACAGTAACACCAAATTCCAACTTCTACTAACCCACTGTAACACTGTCTATTAACCCACAGTAACCCCAACTTCTACTAACCCACAGCATTGCCAAGTCCTTGTAGAAAAAGGCTGTGCAGCAATACAGCTGAATAAGCAAGAATTGCACTTTTGGGCAGCACAGACATTATTACAGACCTCAAGGAGGAGTGATTCCATGCCACTGGCATGGACCAATCCCTGTCAGGCTAAGGCAAAAATTTCACTTGGGTGGTGGAAAAGTTTAAACGTATTCAGTGGTGCTGCCTGGAGACAGTGTAATAGCATAGTGAGAACTCGAGATCAAAATGAAGTAAAAACTGCAGTAACTTTCTATTAACCCAAAGTAACGTCAACTTCTACCCGCAGTAATGCAAACTTCTATCAGTTACATTGGTAGCGGGGGTGCAGTAATGCAAACTTCCATTTACTCGCAGTAATGCCAATTTCTATTCATCCATGGTAATGCAAACTTCTAGTAACCCAAAGTAGTGCAAACTTTTTTTTAACCTGTAGTAACACAAACAACTATTAACCAGCAGTAATGCAAACATCTATTAATCCATGGCAATGCAAACTTCTAGTAACCTGCAGTAATGCCAACTTCAATGTCCCAATGATAAGACCACTCATCTTAACTCATTTGTAAAAGTGAGGTTTGTATGTGTGTGTGTGTGTGTGTGTGTTTGTGTGTGTGTACTTCTGCTTCTGTTAGAGCTGTTAGAGTATCTTATACGACTGACAGATGGTGGCAAAGTCAATGAAGAGTGAGTTTGTGACCAGACAAATGTGTACGACAAAACAAACACTCTACCTTGTAGTTGCGGCAGGTGGGGTTAAATGCGTTGGTTCCGCATGCAAACAGTGTTTCGTCGTTGCGAGGAACCAGTACTTTGATGTAGTTGTAGCACTCATCCTGTGAAAATCAAGACGCTTTTAGAGAAATACACACGCTGTGTTTTACCATAATCACTATGCTGAACTCTGTGGACACCCTCCCTCATAGATCTACATGAGCACCACCATCATTCAAGAACTGAGAGTGACTGTGTCTCTGTAGCAAATACCTGCAGTGCTCATGCTAACAAGCAATCTGCACTGCTGTAGCACCTCATATTCTAGAGGGAAAGCAAACAAAGAGAGAGAGAGATAGAGACAGACAGAGAAAGAGAGACAGACAGAGATAGATAGAGAGATAGAGAGAGAGAGAGAGAGAGAGAGAGAGAGAGAGAGAGAGAGAGAGAGAGATCCTATAGAAAGAAATGGTTGCACACTCACGCTGTTCTTGCCCCTCACTGTGCATTTCTCCACATCTTTCGTTTTCCACGTCAGTTTCTGAAAAAAAAAAAGAAAAAGAAAAAAAATGGAAGAATGCATCAGCGACAATCTCCTCTTCAGTCAGAAACTACTCATAACAGCTGCAACGGAGACAATCTTATTTATTGCAATAAAGTCTTCAGAAAATAAACAGCTCAGTACCACACAATGAGAGAGAGAGAGAGAGAGAGAGAGAGAGAGAGAGAGAATATAACAGGAGGAACAGACAGGGAAAAGAGAGATCCATCAGGTCATCAAGCTTGTGGTGTGTATGGTGTGGAGAGGTACTGGTTAATGGCATTAGGATAAAGAGTTTGAGTGATTTGCTCCTGTCTCTTTGCCTGCCCTCTTGGCAGGAACACCGATTCAATCGACACAGGAGAGCACACACATGCACACACACACAAATACACGCACACACACACACACACACACACACACACACACACACACACACACACACACACACACACACAGCACTGAAAAACGTGCTCTCTAAACCACAAATATCCTTTCCAGTTACCATATTCCAACTGTCATAACACTCAGATTCTACAGGGAGAGACATAAAACTTAGAGAGAATAAGAGAGAGAGACAGAAACAGCCTGACAGAGAGAGGGAGAGAGAGAGAGAGAGAGAGAGAAAATGTTTATCATCTCTGTTCCTTCAGGCAAGAAAGACAACAAATGTTAGCCATTTGTTCAATGCAACCTCAATTAATCATTCTCATGTAATCCTATGAATTGCTCAAATTTTGTGATGATATTACAGTGCAACTCTCTTGCGTAGCAGAGCATGAGCTTTTTGAACAGCTTTATCCATATCTAACAGGCAGATCAAAGTAAACTCATTTTAATATGGTCCCCCTTCCCCTGGTTTCATAAGTCAAATTACCTCTGACAAATGTGATTCTTCTAGCTGATTCACTGAGCTTCCAACCAGGGGTACATTAAATCGCACTAATTGGATGATTTCCCTCTTAATGCAGAAATTGCTGTTGTAGAGACACAACTCACATGATGCCAGAAAAAAAAATAATAATAAAAGCAGAGACTGTGCCCAGTCTTTCAGAAGCAGAAACACAGTAACTGGCTCAGCATTATCATTAAAATGCAGGACAGGAGCCTACGCTGGCTCCTCTGTACTTTCAGAGTAAATGCACTCCTACCTTAGAGTCCCTTAATGTTCTGAAAAAGCAGAGAAATGGGATGGGATATGGCAGGAGGGAAGGGCCAGGGACGGGCTGCTCTAAGCTGGGATCAGCTAAGTGCTCTGAGCCGTAGTCAGGATGCTGAGAGGGTCGCTGATGGGGAGCATTAGCGCTATTCATTTCACACTGCTCCAGACCACTCCGCACAGTTAAAAACCCACCATTATATCAGACGGTTAAAGAAAAAAAAAAAAACAGCGAGAGACACAGAGAGAGAGAGAGAGAGAGAGAGAGAGAGAGAGAGAGAGAGACAGAGAGAGACAGAGAGAGAGAGAGAGAGAGAGAGAGAGAGAGAGAGAGAGAGAGAGAGAGGCTTACCTGCTGGGGTACGATTTCCTCGATCGAAGTGCTGAGATTGACGGCAAAGACATGATCCCTGCAACACACAAAACACAATAAAAATCAGGGACTTACAGCGAGGTCCTCTATCAGTCACCTCAGTTTGAATGAGACTGATTAGCCTCAATCATACAGTCCTCACCGGGGACAGCTATGTGTGAGAGAGAGAACTAAGCCTTGAATGTGTGGTTCATCACTCTTTGGCCCAAACGAACAAATCTCACCCACTTCATCACTACACTTCCAGAAGCTCCGCTGTGCCACATGTACTGCTCAAATTACGTTGTGCTGAGACTGAAAGCTAATATAGGATCATCTCCTCCTCTTTACAAGACCCCAGGTTTTAAATTAACCCCTTAAAGTGCGAGGTTTAATATGTACGTTCACACTTCATTTCCTCACTCTGATAACGACATAACTTGCATATTAGTCTCATAGAATAACTGAATAATAATGCCTTAATGTTAGTAACTACAACTCTGCAGATTAGGGGGTTAAAAAAAAATCCCAAACCAGCAGTCTTATTCTGTTGCACGTGCAACAGGCCTAGAACTAGCATCCACACAGGCTAAGGGCTCTGACACACCAAGCTGATTGTTGGCAGCAGTCCAGTTTTCACTGAACTTCTGTGGTCAGCTGTAGTTTCTGGGGTGCGTCTGCACCTGTTGACACTAGTTGGCTCTTGTCAGTGGCTGACTGGTCAACTGAGAATGCTGAATTGGCATCTTAGGCTGGTAGTGTAGCCAATTACTGCACCAGAAGGGCCCACATAGAGTATGTAATTTTCAATATACATGCAAATAGCAATGTTTGATCAATACGGATAGACATTTTAAACATTTATGCTATTTGAAGACACATTTTTAAAACAAACAGTATTCTAACATCCAGATGTGAACCATGATTATTTAGCCCTTGAGGTTGGACCACAAATGTCAAAACTCAAAACCACCTCTGCAATAATGCTAATTCCTGGCAGAACTCCTATGGGATTTTAGCAGTACATTAGCGCTTTTTTCTAGAATGAACACGCTTTTTTCTGCATTAAACACATTTGGATTCAACACACGGTAGATTAAAGACATCTGAAGCTTGTAAAAGACGTTCCATGTTTTTTTTGTTTTTTTTGCAGTTTGTAGCAGACATATCAACATATATTTTACCTTGTAGCAGTTTTTTACAATAAGTCTTTCAGTAAAAAGTCCTGGCATAAAGCTGCCATTGATTTACATTTCTAACATCTCACTGAAATGCACTGGTTAGGCTGCTACTTGTACTCACAGTCAGTGGCATATCTAGAACTTTCAGAAGGACTAGAGTGATGTTTTTTTTTTTTACTTGGGACTTGACTTGAGACTTTCTTGTTTTTTGCACTTTAGTGATTTGTTCCCACCTTTGCTACCCACTATAAATGAAAATGTGATGGGTTGATTCCATTGTCAGTTCCTATTTATGTTATCATTAATCTCACATATTAGGCTTTCAGTTCAGCTCCTAAAGTCCTAACCAACAGGAGAGCCTGCTCGGCTGTACCTATATTCACTTAGACACCACAAAGAAAAAAGGAGTTTTACTGCAACACTTGCAGAATTTAAATACAACATGAACGATGATTATATTACACAAAAAAATAAGCCTTGTCTGATGGACTAGAAGACACTGAAAGTTCCCACTGTTAATATCCCAGCAAGAAAATATTTTTAATTGTTATAAACAAACAAGGACACACAAGAGCTAAGAAGTCGCTCAGGTTGATAACATACTAAGACAGCTGTACCAACATAAAACATGGAGCATTCCAGTCATTTCATGTTGTTTTTCATTTCTGTCACATAATCAAGGAAAAGAGCCTTCCCTTCAGAAGTCTGTCCAATTACTTCTGTTATGTTAATGGTAGCTTCTGGTAGCTCCCTTACGGAATTTATGTTAGCACCAAGGTAGCCGTGGTGAGTGCTCATTTTTCCACATAACAATTCAACACTACTTATGGCAGCTCCAGCTTAAATACTGCCATTTACCTTGAGCAAATCATTAAGATGTACTTCAACTTAAAGTCTAACTCTGAAGTTTACTGGAGAAGCCTGTAAGCTATCTCGCGCGTTGGTCGGTTTATTCTGCAATACTGGCTCTTCCTTTTTTCTTTTTTTTCATTTATAAACTTCTGCTATCCCCTAGTATGGAAAGTTATATCCTTTCACGCAAGCACAGCACATATGGCTGCCAGCTGTAGTCTTTGTGGGGTTTTGAAGTGCAACTTTTCACAGAAGACGTGAGGCACTGGTGACGTGATGGGAAACGATTGTCAGCGGGCCTTGGTTGACATTCGTTTTTTTCGACATCAGCTTGGTGCGTCAAGGTCCGAAGGCTGGTGGTATTGGAGGTGACAGACTCACCTGGCAGCGATGTAGAGCATGTGGTTTATACGCAGCATCCTCTGGAAGTCCAGACCAAGCCTCGCCGTGTCATTATCCGACATGTTGCCCTGGAAACCAGGGTACAGATAGGAGTCTGTAAACAGAGAATGGGGAAAAGAGAGATAGAGAGAGAGAGAGAGAGAGAGAGATATTAAGAAACCAGCAACAACAGCTGTTGCTGTTAGGAGTAAGCAATACTATCCAACACTACCCACATCCAGATTTGTTTAGAAGAAACAAACAGGTTTCATTCATATCTGCCAAAACTAATTACACAAGATGTCAGTGTATAGAAGATATTAACACTTATTCTCCTCAGCATGGCTTTATTAAAACTAATCCTCTTGAGAAAGCTCGGCTCAAAGAAAAAGGATTCCTCATTCAGGATATCCTTTTTTCATTATTTAATGGCGAGGTCTAAGAGCACTGCTGGCCCTTCATGGCAGAGTAAATTCAGTCTGTATATCCAATCTGTCAGCACAAAGTGATGGCTTCATTTAGCTAGCAGGTGAGGTGAGCCGGAGAGGCCTTTTCAGCATCTGGCTTTTTTTTCCCATGCAATTTATCACAAATGGTCCCAAAACACAATGTTTATTATTAGAGCAACACTTAGGTCTGTGCTCTTTTGCTGCAAAGGTCAAGTAAAGGTAAGATTATACTCAATCGCTGTTATGTGTGAAAATGACTACTGATGGTTGTATTGACCTTGCTATGAGATGTGGTTCTCATAAATGTCTGTTGCGCATTGCTATGACTGGTATAAATTATCTTGTGGCAAACTCCAATAGCAGAAATACTACAGCTGTCGCGAGCAGAGAATTAGACTCTTTTTAACTGATCTGAGCACGGCGCAGAGTGACAGGCTGTGAAAGGCAACATCTAAGAGTTTAGCGGCAGCAGGAACTTGTTTCTCCTCTCAGAAGTTTACACAGTAAACATCATCTGATCTCAGCGTGCTCACCACTGATCACAGTACAGCCATTATTCTCACACTTCTGTATGAAGACATACAGCACAAAAGCCCAAAGAAATCAATCATGCACTTTGTCCCTGGACTGCGTGTGTTTAGATTGAAACTGCGGTTATCTAGGCCCCCACTGCAGTGGTGAAGACTTAAAGCTTTATTTTAGAAAATCAGGAGTTGGATCCCATGACCGTGAGGGCAGCAGCCTACAGTGCCACGGGACCCTGGCTGTTTGCGTAAGCCGGACAAGAGGGAGCATCTTCATAGCTTCAATGAATTCACCATCACACTGGCCAGAAATGAAGAGCCTGAAGAACGTGGGAGCAAGAAATACAGAGAAAGGGCAGAAGGGCTGATCTCAGGGCAGACAAATATGGTGGATGTGCTGACGTAGCAGCATTCATACAGGATATGTACTTTTACTCACTTCTGGATAGCTCCAGCTTTGGTCAAAAAGCAGAGACAGAAACAGATTCAGCCTCTTAAAGGATTTCCATTTCACACTGTAATATAACTCAATCATTTTGTTTTATTTTTCCCATACAGTTTCTGAAAAATAAGACTTAGGATGTGGACTTAGAAAGGTGCTTAAGGGGTTAACTCACCTTTTCACCCTTCAGAGTTCACTTACTCTGCGACAAGTTCTACAAAACTTTTTGATTAGCCAAATTTCTTATACTTAAAGAAACTGAGCACAGCATTAGACCATATACAATGTTTAGAAGTTCTAAAATATTCAGCCTCTGCATTCTACAGAATAGGGCCTATTCATATTATAGAGGAAAAAAAACAGTAAGTAATCATGGTTTAACTGTCAAGATGTCATTATGGTATGCCACTTTGCAGAACTACTGTTGTTTTACCATGAATTAACACCGAATTTCACCCACCCACACTGCCAAAAGTGTATCAGCCTTTATTTACATAAAAAATATATTGCTGTTTTACCCCTACTGCGGTCTTGATCAGAGAACACCGAAACATCAGTATGGTTTCAATGTAAATAAAGTCTGATCCATTAGTACTACCGAGTGTGAGTGTGCCAATTGTTTCAGCATGAAGTTTTTAGGTTTTGGATGTACTTCAAGGCTGGTTGAGGCACCTTCCCAAATGTTCTCTTGCAAAGAAATATTCTCAGTTTTTTCTCCTTTAGCAAGGAGCTATATAACATTTAACTCTTGGCTTTTTGCTAAGACTACAGGGGTTTGGCTTTACATCAAGCTTGACACCCTCTGCAGGCGAACTCTTCATCAGCGCTCTCTTTTTGCGAGGTTTTGAATGGTGTGAAATAGTCCTTTACCTTTAACCTGTCCTTTAAATTAGTGCACACCTCAAGCACTCTCCTGGCACAGGGTCAGGGAATTAGCATAAGTAATAGCCTTCCTGCGTTTGTGCAGCACACGTTCGTGCACACATGCATGCACGCACACACACACAGGTAGAAAAAGGCTGATAAATGGACCTCATTACATGTCTGCTGGTCTCCTTGAAGAGCTCTATTAGCCCCGACTACCTCTACCAATGGCCCAGTGCTTCTATATCTCTTATGGATCCATTAGCAGCAGGGCCAGTCTTCCTCTCACCTCGTGTAGTAATAATGGATCTGTAATTTCAACCGGGGGAAGCTCTATACACTTTCTTGCTCAAAACAGACAGCAAATGTGTTGTGTGGAACCACATGGACCTTTCATTTCCTGTGATGTCCTCATCCTAAACAATCTTGTGTATATTTTTTATAGCACTTAATGGGAGTTTGAGTAGGATCATTCATACCTCGATCACCTATGAAGTCTGTGACACCATAAAATTAATTTAACTCTCGGATTTCATTGAATTAGATAAGTGCAACGGCTTACATAACCATAAAAGCATTGAACCCATCTAACTGAACGTGAGTGCTCCTTTGTAGCTAAGTACGGTCTTGCTCACTCCATTATTGATATGTTGATGTGAGTGTTGTGTCTGGATTGGCTATGGAGCCGCTGGCTGTTTATGCATTTGGCATGTGAACAGCGTTCCTATCTGCCAAGTGCTGATTGTTTCGCAGGCTGGGTGCTTTTAAGTGTGAGAGATGCTTTTACATATATTTTCTAATTTACTCTGGGTGGGATACATCATCCAATTCATCTTTTTTTTTCTTTTGATATGGAGAGTCATAAGCAGCAATGACAAAGCAAAAAAGTAAAAAGATCAAAAGATCTGACAAAAAGTCTAATACAGTCCAACATGTGTAATAACTCAGACTTGGTAAGACTTCCTGCACTTAATATCTTGAACTAAACTAAATTGCCTCGATATAAACACAGAATCTTATCCGTGAACTTCTAAGCATCATACTCACACTCACTCCCAACGATGCTGATTGGCTCCAGGTCTTGGGGGAAAGGTGTGGCAGCATCGGACAGGTGTGATAGGCTGGTGAGGGCGAGGGTCAGGGCCAGGAGGGGCCGCAACCCCAAAACCAACCGCATTTCAGCGCCAGCTACAGCACTCAGGCCCACAGCATGACCCACAGTGGACTTACTTCCACCTGAAAGAGAGTAAAATAAAAGAGTCAAACAGGCTGCTAGAGACTGAAAGCAACACCATGTTCTTAAATGCCCAGATGCAGTGTAGAACAAAGGATTTTGCAGAGTACCTATATTCTCACCCATTTGTAATCAATAAATAATATTATAGATATTCTTAAAGCACAGTGAACCAACACTTGTGAAAAGATGAACTTCTTGATAAGTGGATTGTTGCAACAAAAGTGTCAGGACTGTCTCATGTATGTAATTTAACATTAACGGCCATTATAAAAGCCTGATACTCAGGCTGGGAGTGGTACAGAAGATGATCAAAAGTTGTATCTATAATAATAATAATGTTTAATTAGGTGGTTGTGCCTCAGTGAATGAGAGAGAGAGATGAAAGAGAGTGCAGGAGCATATCCGCTCATTAACACTCCAAGCGGCCTCGACTACTCTCGGCTAATCAAATTTAAGTTGCCTGCACACCCAGGTTAGTGGAGGCTCAGTCTCAGAACCCCAAATCTCCAGTTTACAAAACATACTCATTTTCCCTGGGTTAGAAATAACCCCAGCAACTCCACTTCTGCTTCTGACTCAAACCTTTACCTTTCCATGAAGAACACTGAAAAGTAGACATGGACAGATATCCTTTTTTACAGCAAGATCATCAGCTCTGGCCGACAATGCTGCAACACCTGCACACTTCCTTCCTGCACCCTTTGTCTAAAATTAACTCCAAACTTTAGGACATGTAATCTGGTATTTATATTAACGTCATCGAATTCTACATCTTTTCTCATACTGAGAAAACTGAAGGTTAGAATGCCATCAGAAGAACTTCTTGTATCTATAGCGGGACATTCAGATGGGGAGCAGTGTCCTTGGTCCTGGCCTGGTAAAGCTGCATAAAGACAAAAGTTGGGCTAACTGCTATTATCAGCCACAGCTTAGAGATAGCAAAGAAGTAGCTTGGAGGGGGGCAGAGGGAGGGACTGAGACACCTTTGGCCGGAGGGACCCTGGCTCATTGACTCTCACTCCACAGTCTTTCACAGGTGACTTAACACAATTAACAGCAAAGGCTGCTGGGATACTGCTGCCCTCTGTCAACCATGACACAAGGCCAACAGGGACGCATCAAAAACTCATTTTCAGAGCAGTGGAAAAAATGACAAGGGCCGAAAAAAAAGAGAAAAGCAATAAAAAAAGGTCCTGCTGCCCATGTTGGAGGGCATTTTTGAGCCGAATTCCATTATTAATGAGTGGCTGAGTATTTGTGCTGAGTGCAGACTGAGTTGAAATGCTAATTCTAAGGCTTGTTTACTTTGTGGGCCAACTGAGCAGTGAGGTGGACATCAGGGAGCTGCTCTTTAAGTAAACAGACCAATGGTTAACTGGTGTGGATGAGTCTTTTTCTATTTCATATTAATGCTAGGTTGGAGGTTGGGGCAGAGTGATTAGATGGACAGAGATGCTAACTCTCCAGCAGAGTTCGAATGGGATCAGAGTCTCAGTCAACATGAATATGGGCGCTATCAATATTCATATGATCCGCCCTCATTCACATTCAGCAGAGAGGTGAGCGTTTAGCGATGCAGTCAAACAATGATCACACGGCTATAAATTGAAAATTTGCATGTCTGCTTCTGTTTATTTCATGAATTACAGCCTCCTGTGTGAGAGTGAGCGTTAACACACACTAACACTGTCACCCACACACTCTCTCTCTCACACACACACAGATTCTGTCAAGGCAATATATCGGGACATTACTCCTGATGGATTATTTGCACATGGAAGATTGGCTTTTAGCACAGATGGACAGGGTTGCTTTCTTTTAGCACAACTCACACACACTGAGTGACATAACAGCCTTAGCAATGATCACACCTGCATGCCTGCACACTCACACTCATACACGCTCTTATATTACTATATTTATGGCCAATTTTTCCTTGACTTATATATTACTTTAGCTAAAGACTCCAATGTTTAATCCAATAGCCAAAAAAAAAACAGAGCAAGATCTTTATGAAGAATTTTTGATCGATACAGACACTGATTTTCAACACTTTATTATCATGTTAAGGGTTAGGTTTGGATGCATGGATACATCTTTTTGTTACTTTTACTGTACTCTGTTTAAATTCACCAGTTCAGCTTGTGTTGCCATATTGGTTGAACAGGTGATGATTCTGAGGGCACTTGCCTTCTTTTGTGCAGACCAATCAAATTTCTTCTTTAGTTTAGTTCGTTTCGACAGGTGGGAACAGTCCACCTCTACTCAGGCGCGCACAAAACAAAAAAGTTTATCAAAAAAAAACATGGTTATCATGTTATAACGACAGATGAACAATAAAATAATAGTGAAGAAATGCATTTGATTTTGCCTACATGGACCGCTGAACGTATACAGGCAGTGTATCAGCACCCTGACTGGTGAAATTTAAAGAGATGCATTATTAAACTAATTGATTTTAAAGAAGCAGAGATCAAGTAATGTTTATTTTCATTGCTTTGATTGTGATACCTGCAGATGTTATGTGCTTCTATTTTTTTAATGGAGCATAATGGGTGGAATAATATATTTATATCAAGAACATGTGAGAGGGAAAGATCTGTACTTTATCCACTGATATGCAAGAGGTCTATCTAAGGGTAAACACGTTAAAAGTAACAGCATTTATAACCCCACCAAACATCTGACCAATCAATGGACACCTACATGTATAATTTGCAGCATGAAGAAAAACAAACCAAATAGAAAGGATACAAGAACAGTATCCTAGTAATTATTAGTAGTAGAAGTATAAGTAATTAACTGTGTTCACAAGTGGTACCATTTCAAAATCATGAGTGCAGAAAAAAAGTTACACATTTTTGGTATATAATGTTAAATCTGCAGGTCATCAATATCTGCTGATATTATTAGCCAGGTGACAGATCACTTGGGTTTAAAGGAAACATTCTGGCTTGTTTTCAGTTTTTAGTGAAATCTGTGTTTTGTTGTCTATGTTGTAGGCTTCTGTACAGCCAGCAAATAGTTCCAACAACACTGATATTTTCATCTTTTCTCATCATTGTGGGCACATTTGGATAAAGCACACAGCACATATACATGCACAGAAGCTTCTTGTCCAAACAGACCCCACAGCAGGGCTCCAGCGGTGACTAAAGGCTAATCAGAGGGTGCCAAGCAGTAACCATTCTCAGAGATGTTCTTTGTCAAGGTTTTGCTTGTCATTTGCCTTATCAGACTCACAGTCGGGTGCTCTGGGCTTGGAGCTGACACATGGAACAAAATCTATGCTCACACACACACAGACAGACAAACAGGCACACACACACAAATCTTTTCTTGCACTAAGCAGTGAGGATCAGAGGACCTTTCTCACATGAACACAAACAGACCATAATTACGCAACACTGCCACATGCTCTTCTACAATAATATCTTTTTTTGTGAGCTATTTTATTCATTACAGAGCATACACACACCAGTTGCGCTACACTGCCATAATATCCTGTGATCTTTGGTTTTCCTATCAGAGACCCAGAGCAGACTGCTCTGTCTGCTTCTCTCTCTGTCTGCCTGGAAAGGAAGTGGTGTTGGGAGGTCATGGGAAAGTAATGATAGTGATGAAGGGGAGGGAGATACAGAGAGAGAAACAAGTGAGCACACTCCACTGACCTTCAGTCTACACTGTTAGTCTGTTACAGTATACTGAAAGTGCTAGAGTAGATCCATGTCTTCAATAGCAAGAGGTCAACCATTCAGCTGCTCAATGAATGCTGTACTTCTTGTTCTGCTGTGGCTTTACAGAGAGATGTTATATTGTATAAAGTGAATCAAGTGACTATACGTCAAAGCATTTTCAGTCTTTCTCTGCCCCATAACAGTGCACTGTCTGAACATATGCATCTGCAGCAGAGCACTTCCGCAGTCATTAATAGACACTCAGTGAGGCCTCTCTCTTAGCACTGAAGACTGATGCTAACACTGATAGGCTTCAAAAGCCAGTGGACGTGTCTCTTGGTTAATTAAATGACCTAAATGGATTTGGCCTTAATTACTTCCCCTCACTGCTCACTCTCATGCCTCCATCACTGCTGTCACACTGAACAACCCTAGACTCAGCTCAGCTATTCCTAGTGCTGTCAGCTAGATAGAACAACTGACCTAGATGACACTGGGAATTCTAGAGCTTAAGTTCAGCTGATTCAATTCAAGCCAAATTTATTTGTATACTGCTTTGTACAACAGGCACGGTTACAAAGTATTCTGCAGAAATGCAGGTCCAGATCCCTAATGGATGTCACTGAGGGCAGCAGCAGCAGAAAACAAACTCTCTGAAAGCATTAGGAACCACCCTGAGAGAAGCCAAGACTTAGAGAGGGAAACCATCCTCCTCTGGGTGGCACCAAATCATGACATTATGGTCAGATATATAGTTTACATGAGTGGGATTAAACTTCAAATGCATGGGTGCTTCAACAACTATTTGTGCATTTTGGCCACGGACATTTTCGTCCAGAAAAAAAAAGAAAAACCTAAAATCCAACACTTTACAAATCATTTTAACAGTCATGAAAATCAGAAACAGTGGTAGAAAACACTTTTTTTTTTACTTTGCTCTCCTGCACTGGTCACTGCAGATATGTTCAAACAGTCTTGTTTAGTTTGTCATTCGTCTGAAAAAGAATGGACGGGTTGGGGGGACAGAATGAGCTCACATACTGTTAGGGATGCGTTTAAGGTTTTAACAGAGTTACTTGAGTCATAAGGTGGAAAGATTTACGGGATAAGCCATTGACAGAAGTCTATTAAGTCTAGAGGAACACCAATCCTGCTGGAGTGTTGGACAGGTTGTTAGAGAAATGAGAACATCCCCCTAAGCTATACCTGAGAATAGAGCAGTGGTTCATGTTATGGGAGGCTGGTTATCATCTTGTCACAGTGCAGGAAGCTGAGTGGCACATGTAAATGGCTACAAAACAATCTAGCAGGTCCAGTCAAGA